CTGGAGTTCAGACGTGTGCTCTTCCGATCTTGCTTAACTTTTTTGTGTGGATGGACCTTGCGGAATTCAATATAGAATTAGAGCACATTATGTTTGCTCTGCATCATGAAGATTGTTCTTTTTTGTCGGATACTAACTTGCGTATACTCAATGAAGGGACCTCGATGTGACCAATTATCCATCTTTCTTCGCGAAAAAATCGCGATCATTTCACGCTATCTATTAAAATTCATAGAACTTTAAAATGTAAACCTCGAAGGCAATCATTCGTATGCGTTTAATAGGTAGTTTAAATTGTACTTTATTGAAATCAAATATAGTTGCGCTTCCATAAAAAAAACGCAAAATAAAGAATTGTATTAAATTTTTAACGAACAATAATAGATATTATAAATTATAAATATTTCATATTATATTAACATTAGATTTTACCTTTTTCGAAAAGTAGTATTATGGGTATTGTCAATCGATTTATTCATTGTCTGTACTAATTTCTTATCGCGATATAGCTTCTAATTTAATCATTGCCTTACTCTAAAGCTTATTTTTTTGTGCGTTGAATATTGCTGTAAAATTTTTTTTACAATTGATCAATGTTTGAACGACGGGAAACCATAACACATAAATTTATTACCGACATTTTTGGTTGCAATATTGCTCGCGTTAGATAAAATTTAATAAGTTTTATATAATCTCAAATTGATAATAAAAATAAATACTTAATTATCGTTAATTTTTATTATTCAATATTTTAGTAATTATAAATTTAATAAAATTCTTGTTATCATATGTATTTTTGACGCTTTCATATAATCCTGCAATTTTTTATTATGTTACTAATAGTTATTTTTGTCATATTTTAAACAGCATTTTGTAATTTAACAGCATCTTTATAACATCTTTATTATATGATAAATAACATGTTTTATAATTATTGTATAAATATGAATTATAATATAAAATTAATCATATTGTGAATTAAAACATACAATCCAGGTAGCAATCTAATGTTATTTGTCATCAGTTTGCAACCTGAAAAAAGAGGACCGCTGATTAAAATCGGCGGGGGTGGTGGAGGGCCTCTACGGACTAATTCGTTTTAGTCCAATTAAATTTCTATTTAAAATCTCAAATTAAAAAAATATGAAAAACTTTTCAAATATTCTCGATCTTTGTAGTTATAGTAATATAGTTATGTACTTTGTATATTGAAACTTTTCATACATTTTCATTGTAAATTTTGATATCAAAATACATTACAAAATAATATATGTACTCTCTAAATTTTCTGGAATGAATCTCACTCCAAAAGAGTGAAAAGTCACTCCAGAAAATTTAGAGAGTATATAAATACATATACATAAAAAAATACATAAACATAAACAAATACATATCACCTAAGTAGCATAGTGTTATTTGTCATCATATTGATGACATATAGCTACTTTGGACAAAAGAGGACCGTTAATTTAATTAGCGGGGGTGGTGGAGGGCCTTTACTAGCTAATTCATTTTAGTCCAATTAAATTTTATATAAATTCTCAAATTAAAAATATATAATTGGAAAACTTATCGAATATACTCGATCTCTGTCGTTATGATATTATGACTTCTTGTATACATATGTATATTGAAACTTTTTATTGCACATTTTGATATCAAAATATATTATAAAAAATAAAATATAAATGTATGTAACCTTAAAAAAATACATACTACCCAAGTAACAAACTAACATTATTTGTCATCATATTGGTATTAGCTTGTTACTTGGAACAAAAGAGGACCGCTGATTATAATCAACGGAGGTGGTGGCGGGCCTCTACATTTCGATATTAAAAGATTACATCAAATAAAATGTAAATGTATATGTTGTATATAAATGTAAAAGGCATTATATAAAAAATAAGATATAAATGTATATAATTAAACGTATATGAATACGTGCCACCCAGGTAGCAAACTATAAACATTATTTGTCATCATATTGACATCATGCAATAGCTTGTTGCCTGGGATAGAAGATCGAGGACCGCTGATTATAATTGGCGGGGGTGGTGGAGGGCATTTACGGGCTAATTTGTTCTAGCCCAATCTAAATTTTATTTGTATTTTAAATTAAATATAATTTGCTTAGAAAAATTCCAAGTTTAGTTAATGACTTGCAAATTGCTAGTATAATCGGTTAAATAAAGTAACTTACATAAAAAATATTGTTTATATGCAATATAATATTATTATATAATTTTCTATAATTTTATATTACATAATGTCTTTTTTGTTGCATTATTTTATATGCGTTGTATATAAAATATATATTTCTAGCGCATTTTTTAATGATATTTAAAAATAAATTTGTAGCGTAATAAATAATGAAGTATAAATGTTTATACAACGCAAATAAGTCCTGATTGAAATCGGGGATGATGAAAAATTTTTACAATTTTGTTTGTTTTTGTTCGATTAAATTTTATTTGTAAATTAAGACGTGTAGTTTAATATGTACGTTGAGGCGTTGGTGATTCGTCATATGAGAATAAGAAAGTGAAAAATACTCATTAGCACCCACGAGATATTATTAAATTCATTTAAAGACAGTCGGCCAAACTCTCGAAAGGTCGACAAATTTTCGTGATTGTCAAGTAGGCCCGGGGGTAATTGAAGAACATTGACATTACCAACCATTTTGGTTGTACTGAGGGTAACAAATAATCACTTTATTTTATTATCGTGAAAACATTATTTTTCAATTTTTGCAACGTTTACTGTATACGGATATACGTGTATATGTACAACAATTTGAACGTTGCTAAAATTGAAAAATAAAACTTTTCACTGTCGATAATAAAATAGTGATTTCGAAATTATATACGTAAAACAATTAGTATTTGTTACCCTCTGCAGTACAAAAATGTTTGGTAATGTCAACGTGTTTCAATTATCCGCGGGCTCATCAGACCCATTTGTCATGAATCTGATGGGCCCGGGGATAAGTCATGAGTTACCGTTTTTAATAATACCTCATCGATGTCATCAGTTATATCTATATAAAGAAATTACCTTTAAGATTTTACAGATATTTTTAAGATTTTAAAAAGTTATCTTTTATATAAGACTACATATTTAATTTCAATACATGAAATATCGATTGTAATATTTATTTTTTAGAATACATATACGGCTTTGTCGATTTTCGACATTCTCGATCTTCGCGATTTGAAATTTTCGAACTTGTAAAATTCTTGGAATTTTTAAAAAATTCTCAACATTCTAGATAGTATTCATCTTGTTGCTATGGGATTCTGCGGTGCAATAAAAAGGCGATAAGGTTTTTTTACTTCACTGGATGTACGTTTAATCTATTCATCTCGTAACAATACATAATCCGAAAATATACTCTTTGAAAAGCATATATGTGTGGTATACATTGTGCGTTAGAAAACGGTAGCTTCTACCATGAATAAAAATATATGTCTATGAATCATGGTCGTCCCGATGGAGCGACGACGAAACAATTAACATTGCTTTCACCGGATATGGCATATCCGGTGCCAATTTAAAAAAAATATATTTATATTATATCTATAATAGCGCATATATCGCCGTTTGATTTGCTTTCTCTTCCTATAGCGTGACTGCAATCATATTCCGTGCAGAAAAGCAAACGCTTGCGTAGACGATAGCGAACATGTACATCTCTCCGGCTTATCGATCAGTTCTACAGTATCTTCCATCGTTATCGACTTACTATGTAATTAGACTAGTTTGCACACATGAGATTCCTTATCCGTATAATTTCATAACATATTTCGCTCATACAAGATCAATAAACAGTATAAGTCGTTGATAAGAATCTGACAGACCGGAAACGTGACCTATACACAAATCGCTAAATTTATTCTTTTTTAATCGTCAAAATTAACTTTCAGAAATTCCGTTGAATTTTTTCTTTTTTTTTTTGCGCAACGACAGCTCTACAAATACGGTTGCTGTTGAAATTGTTTAAAGCTCGCTGAGCTTCGCTGTCCTCTCCGTAGAACTGCTGATAAGTCGGCGACGAATCCCATCGCGAATCTCTCCCTTCGTCGTGGCCGCAGAATCTCTCGGGACGATTATTGCGCGACCAGGACCTCGAACTCGTCGCAGGCGACCTCGGAACCGGCGTAGGGTATGTAACACACGTTGTGGGACGGCTGCACCTTGCCGATGGTCAGGGTACCCTCGTGGTGCACACGGCCGACGAACAGCGGCTCGCCGTTTTCAGTCTCGCCGCCCGGAAGCGCGTTAGCCGGAATGTTACCGCCGCTTATCGGCACCCACACGGGCTTGCAGCCGCAAAGAACCTGCGCAACGAAAACGTTTTTGTAAACAGGGAACCACTGCACTTTATCGATCCTTTTAGACGTCTTCGGAATTATCTCGCAGTATCGGCGAGAGGTTCCTGTTATTCACCTGATAATCGGACTTTCCATGCTCGGCGCCGCCCCAGGCGATGTAGCAGACGGAGTGGCTGGGCTTCACCTTGCCGGGGATGAGGGCACCCTCGTGGTGAGCCCTGCCGACAAACAGGGGCTCGTCGTCGTGTCCACCCTCGAGCGCGTCAGGTGGTACCATGCCGCCGGACGCGTCGCACCAGCACGCGCTTCCCGCGTCGATTGGACGAACTTCCAACGGCGCGGACGGCGTTGTGCCAGGATCTACAAATACATCCTTATTCTTGGTAACGTGTGAAAGAAACGTTCGAAATTATGACACTGACACGACGTAAAAAAAGAAAAATATAAAAACGTGATGTAATCACGTAAAATTAAGGAAATACAACCATTCGTCCTCATCCAATCAAGCCAATTCACCAATAATGTGTTTGCGTGCACGAGTGATTTTTTTTCTATAAAATTCCATGCTATTAATAGAGTGCGCATTCAGACGGTGAGCGAAGAGTGAAGATCAAGTGGTACGGTTAACAAAAATAAGAAAAATTCGATCGCCATCATGAGCTGTTTGATTCTGGGAAAGGTTTCTCTAAAAGCCAGGTTTCAACGGTTGTGTGCGTGTGTGCGTGAGGGCGTAATACAGATTTAACGTCGCAAACAAGCATAATAAAGCTTATCGGCCGGCGGATCCCGCAGATCGCGTCGACGTTCTATGAGTTCATCAGCCGCGGGTCGTTGACGAGGGGACGAACGGCTTATAATCTCGGCCGTCGACGCCGATCGCGGAGCTCCGCCAGGCTCCGTTCAGAGAGAGAGAGAGAGAGAGAAAGAGAGAGAGATCATTTACGTTTCTTTTGACCGGTAGCGACTGCGGGATAATGTTCGAAACGGAGCTTCCAGTTCCCGGTTGCGCCCCAACCGGTGCGCACCCCCACGTAGCTCACGCCGATGGGGTTTGGATCTCGCCATTCCATGAGGACGGCGCCGTTCGGACCGCCCGATCTGACCGTGATAAGGCCCTCGAGCCACGTGATCGAGAACTTCTTGTGCTCGCGGTCGCTGAGAAGATTCGGCGTGTCCACGCGCACCTATAGCGGGGCCGCAAAATTTCCCACGTGAAAGCAAAGGAACGCACACTTGCGCACGCCTCTCTAATGTTCCGTTTAATATATATATTTTTAATTAATCTGTACACGATTTATCGTTTCGAACCTTATCAGGCTGTTTACGATCGTATCTAATAACCGACGCTTGATTTTCCCACCCGCCGAGCATGATCTCGTACATGGGACTCGACTCGCCCTTCCGGTCGGTCAGCGCGACGTGCCCGTTGCTCTTAGCTTTCACGTCGACCAGCACCGAGCCGCTTCGCACGGAATGAAACTTGTACTGTAGCTTGTTAGGGGTGTTCAAGGGTTTGCGACCTTGTTGTGCGTGAAGAAAGAAAGAAAGATTAAAAAGTAATTATCAATTTAAAGCTTTGAAAATTATCTACGCAAAAATTACAAAGATAAAAATTGGTATTTACAACGTACGAAAATATATCTTATCGTATTTTACTAAAATAATTCGTTTATCCACGCTATTCTGCGTATTGCTTTCGATACGCTCCTCTCTGAATTGAAGGAATCTCCATTCGACGTGTTATTTTATGTGCTTTTTCATTAAGTTGACGTGACTGATTGACTTTTTTTTTGGCGGCCAAAAGCTGGAAAGCAGTCGAATAAATAAATCTAAAGTATCAATCAATGTATGTGTATGCGTGATTGAAAGGAAATCAATCGGTGCCCCTGGTCTATCATAGCCGAACGTGCTGTGCGTATCGACGATGGATTAATAAACATGCTGCGTTTTCTTCTCGGATCTGTCAAATTAAAAGCCACCGCACAGGTGCAACGAGTCTCTTCGCGAGAAAGAAGCGTTCTTAATCCAGCCGTCGATCGCACGTGATGGTGAGGGGATAACTCGTGCTAGGATGGCATCAAACGTACTCGGACAGAAAAGCAGAATCTACGGGACGCCACGTGCGACTACGTCACGCTCTCGCAGGAATCTCTCGTGGATATTTTTTTTTGTTTTTGCTCAAATACATTACGTACAACCACCGTCACCGCCGCCGCAGCATATGGCTATGCGAGTGCCGCGATGCCGAAATCCGAAAGGACACCAGAAAGAGAATCATCGGAAAATCAGAAAGTGATCAATCTTATCTACGGAAATATATATAGGAAATATAGGCGCTGAGATCAACGCTATATCTACTAGAGACAGTCTAATAAAGAAACGGAGTCTCGTTCTCTTATTTTCTACCTTGTGTGACTACTTGGATGTCTACCATTACAGTCTGTAAAATAAGGCGGGGATTATCAAGAGGGAAGAGCTACCAACGAGCTACGAAGGGATAAGAAGAAGAAGAAGAAAGTGTATCGTTAGATCGCGGGTAAGAGAGGAAATTCCGACGCCTACCTTCGATCAGCCATTCACCGGTGGCACCCCAGCCGGTGCAAACGCCGAAGTAACCGATCCCGAATGGCTCCGGGTCGGCGTAGCTCAGGAAAGGAGCCGACTCGCCCTCCTTGCCCACCGTGAGAACGCCGTTGTCCCACCTGCGGGTTTAGCAAAGTAAATTAAAGGACGACGTAAAAAAAATAAGGACATCGCAAAAATTTACGATGGATTCATTCGACGTATACAGACTCTTGTACAGCGGCTTAAAGCACACAGTAATAATTAATGTACCGCCGAGCAATTAACTTAACGACTCTTTAATGAATCTGGCGCGAGCGAGCGGCCATAAGTACCTGATCCAGAAGCCGCGATATTCATCCGCGCTCAGGATGCCGGGCGTTTCCGTCTCCGCCACTTCCGGCTTGGTTCTGTTCTTGCGCACGACGGACTTGCCGTTGTTCCAACCGCCGATGAAGACCTGAGGAAAGGAATACAACGCTTCATATTCAACGCTCCGCTGCACCGCTGAATTTGATTACTATACGATGACGCTTTTGCGCGTCGTCGTCGTGGACGCGAGACTCGTCGAGGCAGACTCCGATAGGAATCTGCCAGGGCTCTCGGAGAGGATATCCGCCGTTACTCGGGCGTCCCGACTTCTGTGTATAATGAAAGTCGCGGGAAGGCGCGAAACGATTATCTCACCTCGTACATCGGATCGCCCTCCTGGGGTCCCGTGGTGAGAGCGATGTGTGCATCGTTCGGCGCCTTTATCCGGAACTGGATTTGTCCGGCCGTCACGGGGTAGAAATGGTACTCCAATTTGTCCTCGGTGTTAAGCGCTGGAAAAGAAAGACCGCGCGAAGTTTCAGGAAGCGTCGTATAATAAATCAGATCGTATAATAAATCAGATAGAACTCGCGCCCTCTCTCGCGCTGCTCGCGACAAATTGGCCGCGGAGTCGCAATTGACTGCGACTCGTGAGTCAAATTAGCACTCATTACGGATTGCTGTTTTCCCGCGCCCGCGGAGAGACACGTCGATGCCGGGCATCGAGACATCTCGACGCCAGACCGACCCGCGCGCGCGGCAGCGGGATTCATCAAGCGGCCAATAGAAAGTGGGGCAATGCAGGACTCGATCGATATCGCGCGCCGGCTGTGATAATCATACACGTGTGCATGGTACTTACGTTAGATCTCGCAATTCTCGCGATATTGTAATATCTTAATGATGGGCCCCTCGCAAAGGTCATTCGGCGTAATCAGCGCGCCACACGCTGTAGCGCGCACGCGAGAGAATCCGCGCCGTGCGTTTTTAACTGCAGGCACTCGTTAAAAATCGAGGCGCGGCGTTATCAAACCACGGCGCCGCGCCGCAAGGACGAGCCGCTGTCATTTTGCAATCACGCTTCGGTGCAAAATAAAAAAAAAATACGTTTGCATAGAACTGGTCTCGAGTGGTCATAAAAATAGATGCGCCAATAATTTCGATACTCGTGCACACGCGAGCTAGGCTCTGAATCACTCTCCTCCCCCCCTCCCTGCCCCCGTGTACCCCGCGTCGATCGAATTACGAGGCCGTAAATCCTCCGTCCGTGTGACGTGTTAAATAAGCGACGTAATTTTCTGCCGAGATCCACTCGCCGTGGAGAGAATTGAACAAACCGTTATTCTTGGTCCAGTGAGATCACGTTTCTACATCTCTATAATGAAGAATTCCGATCCACTCGAAAGCAATCGACACAATCGCTGTCGGTTCTTTCATTTTCTTTTGATTCTTTCGAATCCTCGATTTTTCATTTTACGCGCAAGGGATTGAAATCGAGCGGCCTTTGAGAGCAAATCGGTATCTACTGTCATCGTTATAGCTTCGACAGCTTCTTCGCAGCGAAATGTTGACGCTCGCGCGGAAATCGCGGCGCGTCGGACCATTAATTCCGAGGTCACGGCGCGAGATAGCGCGACATTGTGAGTTTTTTCTTATCTATTTTTCGTTTTCCCGTGTTTTTCGCTTGTTCCGAGAGAACCGAATAGCGCGCGAGCGACGCGGCGTCAACGTAACGATTATAAATAGTTGGACGAGTATATATGTTGCGGTCAGCGGCTAGCTCGCAACGCGCGCTGACATCATACGCATCGTAAATGAGGAAGGGGCTCTTGCCACGAGGCGACTTGGCACGGGCCTCGCTATGCCAAGAGAAATTCGGATCCCCTTTAGGGCACGCGCGTCGCGACGAGCGTGTATATACGTCGTCGATACTAAAATCGAGGCCGCGTCGCCGAGCGTACTATATAATACCAGGTCTAACGTCGCCGTGCTGATGTCATTCTTATTCCGATGTCAATTACTTCACATTACGCGACGTCCGCGATCCAGAATGATCGCCGCGCGCCGCCGTCGCGCCGACGTTTTTCTGCTATATGTCCAATCACGATATCTCGGGGAAAGAGAAGAAAAAAGAAAGAAAAATTGATCGCTCGGAAACGTGCTCGATAAAAGACGATCAAAAGTCTTCAATTATCCACTTATCAGTCCGCAATCCGCCTCTCTCCTGAAAATTAGCTAATTATCTTGAATCGCGCGGCGCGTCTCGATAATTACATCGTTATTGCGCAAATTTTAGAGAATTCTTGAGGAGCAAGAGAATTCATTAAGATAAGAGCAGCTTAAGCGTTCCACAGGTTGTATTATACTTTGAGAATCCTCCTATCGCGCTGAAGGGATCTCGTCGGCGTCCTGCGGCTTGCGCGGCGCGGGCGGCTCGAATCGCGTTAATTCAATGCGCGGCAAATTGATTAGCTACTGTGTAATGTGGGTCGTGCTTCTCTCCCAATTAACATAACAACGCGAGAATTAGAGCCATTGAGTCAATTCGCATTGCGCAACATGCGAATACCGAGCGCTGGTCGCACTCGTCCACCGGCGCAGCGTGTCAGAATGCAGCCGCGCGTGCGAGTTCCCATTCGGCGCGAAGTTGCCCTCTCACGCCCGCGCCCGGAATAAATCTAACAATTCCAATTCTTTGAAAGCGATCGGTTCGCGATTTTGCTTTCTCTCCCGCGACCCAGACGACGCGACGAATGGAACGGAATTGGACCGGCGGCGCGACGCGCGTCGGGAAAAATTGATGCCCGTAACGCCCGAGCGGCTTCGCGCCGCCAGGTAGCCGCCGCCGCCGGTTGTAATATATCCTGCACGGTAAATCGCCGCCGATAGCTCGGCGCAACGGTATGTAGAACCTATTCGTAGAGCCATTCGCCGTCGTGCTGCCATTGACCTCGCATGGCAACTGTCGTCGTCGCGGCCTCGCCGCGGCAAGGTGGACCACGACGCGTGAAACGACGTGCGACGACGTGTACCCGCGTCGTCGTTCCACCGCGATCGCGCCGAGACTCGGCTGCCACAACAGGTGCCACGCCGCCGCACTCGCGGTGCCCAATCTGCCACCTGCTCCGACGATGAGGGGCACGTGCAACATCCCTACCAAATTTTTCCCGGCGATGTTACACCGCCGGTCTGAACGACAGAGTTTCCTTCTGCAGGACTCGTGCGACCCACTTTGACGTACGTTTGAATGATATTTATAACTATATACCTCGACGATCACCTTTGCAACTCGTGACTGACACATGACTAAACAACAGTTTGTTTCTTTCATTGTTATCGTATAGTGTTTGCATTTCCCTTTGTTTCCCGAACGATATTTGCTCGTGAACTTGTCTCTCCGTCGTGCCAGTTACGTAACGAAGAAGCAGCGCGCCTTTTCGCGCGAGTTTCGTGGGACGATCGATCGGAGTTTGACGTAAAAGCTTCCACACGGGCGAGGCTCTTTATCCGCGCGCGATCCTCCTCGCGAAGAGGAGCCTTACGTGACGTGAAAGGGCGCGCGGACAAAGGTTACGTGCAGTAATTAGAGCCACGCGATATACAGTCCGCTCCAATTTCACGGTGAGATGAATGGGAAAAGTGTCCGTTCGCGTGGATTTTCGAAACGCTCCCAGGGACTCCGCTCCGATGATATCCGTGGTGAGGCGTCAACGTGGAACGGGAGATGAAAAGATAACGAAGGGAATGAGACATTCCGGCGTCGTAAACACGACGCGGAGGCGTCGAGTCAATAAGATCCTCTGCACTTAAATCGTAAAGAGTAAATTTAATCGAAGAATCAAATTTTCGGGACGGGAAGAAGAATGATTTCGGGCCGCGAAGATGACTCGCGCGCGCGGTAGAAGAGCGGCAGGAAACGACGCTGGGCGGTGCGGAGGCCTCGGAGGCGGCGAGCATTGCGAAACGCAATCTGGAAGTCGGATTACACAAGGACGCGGAGGGATCGCATTCTTATGACGTGATCGCGAGAGCGCTTTGCTGTGAAACCGTTACATGCCTCGGCGCGGCGGGGCGCGCGGGGACTCGTCGCCGGACAATATCCAAGACGAGACGAATACAAACTCGCCGCGATAACTGCGCAAGTTTCTCGCATTTATTCCCGCTTGCGTGATAAACTTCGGTGTGAAAAAGCGAAAGAAGTTTTCCGCGGTGACGTAAACACGCGTTAAAAGCTATACACGCAAATATATGCGTGCGCACCGTTTTGCTCGGCTATCGCGCGATTTAGCATAAGACTGCGAATATCTTCACTTCGGTTTCTATTTCTATCGTTTCTGAACGTTCGGAAATCCAGAACGAGAAGAAGAAAAATCCCAGTTGCATTTCTCCAATTGGCGCGTGAAACCTCTTCTCCGAATCGAGTGAATCGATTCTTGGGGGATGTCGGCAGCTGCCGAACGTTTTATTCTCGTCGGATCTTACGATTGTCCGTAGAATTTCAAAGAGAGTCGCTCGAGAGTCGTAGAGAATCGGGATGCCGGCCGGCTTGTCAAACCGGCAGCCGCGCCCCAGCTCTATATTTAGAGAGATCCTCTCGTAAAGAAACGCAGTAGCTTCTTTTAGAGAGACGATACTATTTTCTCCGCCTGGAAAGTTTTTCTATTCCCGCTCCAATTTGATCATTAAGGCTTGATGAACAGAAACGAAACGCGCGGGACAAGACTCGTCGACTTGCGTCCGCGAGGTGATCAAGAGGCGCGAGAAGATCGCGAGATGGAATCTTGTAATATCGACACGACACGCGGAAAACCTTTCTTCGTTTCGGAGCAACGTCAATTCAGCGCTATACAACGTTATGCAATGTTACGGCTTCCGTTCGAATCAAAGCCTTCGCTGACAAATAGCCGCTTTGAAATAGATACGCAGTTATGAATAATGGAATAGACTTCACGACCAGTTTTTGCGACCAAGGATCACGTAAAATGTAGTATCAGAAAAAAAAGAGAAAGAAACAAGAAACTATTCTTACTCCACGTTTAGAGCTTGTTCGAATTATTTAAATATATATTAGAATTATATAATTATTATTATTATCACTTACCATCTTTCTAATTATTATATTATCTAATATATAATTGAACATAATAGAAAATTACAAACTGACAATATAGTTATTAAATAATAATAATAATAATCATAATATTATATAATTACATGAAATAGTGTAATATTTCTTATACGTAATAAAATATGTAAGAAATAGGAGTTCGCCTCAAAAATTTCGAATGTAAACGAGAAACTTACAGACTGCCATGTCGCTCTTTTGGCTGTATACGCAAAATCCTCCGGTGAAAAAGAGAGAGAAGAACGGGGCGAGCACACCACGATGCGTACACCACGAAGACGGAATTCGTACTGCGACGCGGCGCGCGGAATTTTGACGTATTTGCCGATGTGCCGGCCGGTCTGGCGCCTGCGCGATGTCCAGGTACGACGCATATACCCGCGCGCAATGCTATATGCCAGCGGGTAATTAACGAGCGACGAGATGAGTCATGCATGGATCAGCGGCGATGCAGATCCGCGGATGGAATTCCGCTCCACGTCCTCTCTCCGCGGAATCCCCCTCCCCCAGGCAGATATCCGATCCGATTAATTGTTGACGCAAAAAAAAAAATCGTTAGGCTTAAATACGATTGCGTGACGACCGGAATGTCGTCGCTCGCCGATTGATGATCTCGCGTTTCGCGCTATATATCGTCTCCCGACACGATAGGCTCGTATTTAGATCATCACGTACGCTACGCCGCGTCAGGCTGCGCGTTCTCGCGGTAAAAGTTCATTATAGGTGATTCACGAGATCGCGATTTGTCTCTCACGGCGGATTGTTATTGTTATTAAGCGCTTATATGTATCTATTACGCGCGGAACAAATAGCAAGTGGCGCACAGTCATTAGTCGTTATTAGACGATGATTTCATTTGGACTGCATCTGGCGGTCCTTATTATCGGACAGATAAACCTTCCGTTTCGTATGAACGGGTCTCTCCGGCAAGTGTGACGTGGCGAATTGACGGTACGTAATAATAACTATGAAATAATACTTTTTTTTTTATCAGGACACGAGCTCGATCGATCCTGCTCGATGATTACATCTCCGTTAATAATTTCGAATGGATTCACGTGAATTATTCAAAGGTGCGTAGGTCGTTTGATAAAATCTAGCGCGCAAATACGTTCTTACGCGCTAGATTTAATTTTGATAAGAAAACACAGCGCGCTCTTGAAAGGAAAATTGATAATGCAAAATGATCGCTATCGCTGGAGAACCGGTTAATGGTCGCCGGTTACCAGCGATTGTTACGAGAGAAACTCAGATCCAGTCTTCTCGTTTGATCCACTGTAGATACACAAGAAATTCACAGATAAAAATGTACGTCTATTGTGGCGAGAATTTCTTTAGTTTTTACGTAGATGCCGGTATCGATCTTTAATTAAATCAAACGTTTTCGCGTCAGGCCTTTTTTGTAATTAAAAAAAAGCCATTTACTATAGAATATTTAAAAATACTTTCAGTATCGCGCTTTTCATCACCGTTGCATCTTCGTCGGCGGTATTGATTGCGCAATGGGTTGGTTGCAAGATTGAAGATAATTTATTTATAAAAAGATGTTGAAAATATTGCGTATATACGATGTCTACGGGAACTGGTATGCATGCTCAAGATATTACGAAATGTATAATTGCGGACTGCAGCGAAATGACGATTACACATTATTTATAATAGGCGCATCTCGCATGTCGCGGGATGACACCTTGTTCACCTACCACCTCTATTAGCTGACAATAAGCTGCTAAACGCATTTCTTAACAGCTGACAATTGACGTCAATTATTAGCTTCGCTATCGGCAATTTATGCATAACGTGACATTAAAGCCGCGGCTCGAAGGCAAAAAAAGAATAGAAAATTATTAATAATATCCCGAACACTAAATATTAATAGTCGCTTTTACATTGTTTCTTAACTGCAATAAATTGGGATCTCTCGCAATCTTATATATATTTTCATAATAAGCCCACATAACTTTATATATAATTTTCTTACAAATATTGTCAGTTTCAACAGCCAGTAAATATCTAACATTATATAAATCGTGTATATTCATCTATCTCAACGTGTACGCTCCTCTCTATAACAATTATAGACAAAATATTATTCGGACCCGATGCGGCGACGGTAAAACTAAGCGTGCTCGACTACTACGAGTGTGGTATAGCTTTAGCTATGCACGTGCACCATCAGATGCACTGACCGGTTCCGAGGGGACCTCGTAAGAGCGCTAGGCAAGACGAGACGCACTGCGCGACGAGATCTCGACGCTAAAGCGAGCGCGAAGGGACCAAGGTAACAAAATTTATTTAACAAAATATTTGAGAAAATAGATTTATCTAAAAAAAAAAAATTAATCACCAAAATATATCCGACGCTGGAAAATCTCGAGCTCTCGGCGGTCTCTCGATAAACATGTTGCATTGAAAAATAATCCTGGGATTCTGCTTTTCAATCACTCGCACGGCGATTACGTCACTTCGTCATCTCGTCGTCTGATGCAGCACGCGAGACGTACAATGTAATCCGGTATAGCTCGGGGGCGTTACGGAGAGTTTCAAGGAATCGCAGACGAGGTCTCCTCACCTCGATGATCGTTTCCACGCGTTGGGTTGCGTTCACCCGTACTTACACGGGTTTCCTCCTCGCGTCCCCTGAAACTGGTCCCGACCGCGAGCACCGAAGCCAGGTACGAGCGTCAGCGGTCGCTGGCCTTGTACCCTTTCGTACGGACGTATCTCTGAACGGAGGCTCGCCCGAGGTCCGGAACGAGTATTCATTTTCGAGGTAGACCGAAAAGAACGCTTGTAAAGAGTGACGGAAAGCGCGCCGGATATTGCCATACAAAAGCAAATAGAACGCTACTTTATTTTTTCTTTCTCCCTCTCTCTCTCTCTCTCTCTCTCGCTCTTTCTATCACAGTCGAGGCACACATCATATGTCACATCACCAACAGGTTAAAATATACACATACATATATATATATATAGCAACGAATAAAAGTTAAACGACGAAATATCGTGATAAAAGAAGACTTTATCTTACAGCTTTCAGAAAGGACGAACGAGCGATTCCTGAGAACATGCATGATAAAATATCTGAAGTGACCAGCATAATAAAATAATATATTCGACGCACGTCGCAAAGTAGTATACGATACATAAAAAAACGCCAATGTATGGCACTAAATAAAATTTACGACTGTCTACCTATTTTAAGTGACTGTTGACGCTCGAGAGTGTGTTGCGCGGTTCACGATTTATTTTATTCGTTCAGTTTAATCCCCATAAAATATCACTTTCCTCGCGTTTGCATTAAAATATCAAAGACTTTTTTTATTTAAAAAAAATTGTTTATCCAGAAAGGACTCAAATGACCAGGAAAAGATTTTTATCAGAATAAATTTTTTGTCAGAAAAGATTATCAGAAAGAATTATTTTTCCAAAAAAAAAATCTCAAATTATCAGAAAAGATATTTTTTGTCAGAAAAAATTCAGATTATGAAAAAAATTCTTTTAAAGTCACGTCTCGTTTTCCTAGAAATCGGTTCGAAAAGAAACGAAGGAAGGATTATTATTGAAATCTCTCGCAAACTGATCAATTTCGCTCTTCGTAAATGTCGTGATTTTAGCACACAATTGATTTTTACAATTTCATCTTCTCCATCTCATATCTCATAAAGTTGACTGATTTGATTTCCGAGAAGTTTTATCTTTAAACATACTATAACGTCGCCGTTACTCGTCGCTGCACGTGTAAAACATATACCGTCGAAGTCACATCCGCGATAAAACGGCATTTCGCACTTGTTGCTCAGCAAGCGCGACAAGCCTCGACGTGCCGCGCGAATATTTTGACAGAGCAAACTCCACGGAGTGAGTCTATAACGCTATAAGCGCATGAGGCTTGAATGAAGCCGTACGTTGCCTCCCGGGGATCTTGTCCTCTGTCTCGCGCGTCAACAGTAGCGTACGTACACGACTTATAGACTGCGATGCTATAAACAGCTATCTCTTTGATACGTCACGCGGTATGCAGCGTAACAGCATCCAAGGTAGACCGTTTTGTGTACCTGCAGCCACTCTTAAAGACTACACGACCTGACTCGCGCGGCTCGGATCGATCGAAACCGAATCCTCCTCGCGCGCGATACACGAGCCGTTGTGTGTGTGTGTGTACGCAAAAAATTCACGACTCATCATTAGCGTCTATCGATCTAGCATGTATAATGTATAATGCGATACGTAATAAGACGTGTCGCGCGGTGAAAATAATCGCGCCCGTGTGTGTCGCAATTATCGTTACATTCCGCCTTATCGTCGGAACGCGCGTCTAACATACGCACGGGCACGAGCGTTCTCGGAATTCCGCGTACTTACGCGTGTTAGCAATGGTTTCTAATTAATTAACGAGAAAGCGATACTCCCGCGCGCGCGTTCGCGCGAAAAGCGGACGTTCTAACGTTGTTAGTCTACTTTTCACTCTAATAATTGCTATGGATTAAAATAAAACGCACACGTTTGTATGTACATATATATATATATATATATATATATATATATATATATATCTCTTAACAATTACTGCGGCGTCCCTGACCGCGGCGAACGTTCCTTTCGTCGAAGACACTCAGTAAAATTAAAAATCCATCTGGACGGACGGTTCAAGACAATCGCGACTGAGTTGGACAGTTCTCGGACGAATGACAGCTAAAATTAACAGTCCACTATCTTAGAGATGCAACGCTACATTCGAAAACGTTTTAAATAGCACAAGTCTATCGATTGTACGTCCGAAGAGGCTAAAAGTCGATAATTACCTGTCATTGGCTCCCACAGAGTAATGAATACATGCTTTCTCTTTTCAACGCAAGTTAAAGTTCCTCTATAATGATTCGTGTAGCGTACCTACCGTCAAGGAACGTCCGGCTTGTCAGAGATGCCTTGTATAATATTTAAAAATAGCATCTCGATAAAAAAAGACGCGCTATACGAGTGTAAAACGTTGGAGTGGGATATTTACGTAAAATTTATCATTTCTATAGAGAGTAATGTGATTTTTGTGAATGGCGCTTTTTGGTTTTGCGGTCTTCCGGTGATTCGCAGTGATTATTTGATAACGGTATGCCGGTTAGATTCTAAGATCTACTTAGCTTGCATGTATATATAATTGCGTCAAAGAACATGCGGCGGGCTCTCGCGGCACGCACCGCGCGCGAGCTAAAGCTATTCAAGTATTCTTGATCCGTCTCCGCGAGCAGGAGACCTCCTGCTCGCGGCGGAAGTCCCCGTCAACGACTCGGAGTCGATTACGAGAAAGCAACGAGAGGCTGCACAGCTTCGGCGGGACGAGTCTTCGTTGATTTAATCGAAAGGCACACGTTGAACGCTGGCGGTTCGTTATAGCGGCTCACATCATCGGTCGTCGCTACGGGGTCGTTGGTTCGCAAAACAACACGGGGAGGGAAACGGAAGTCATCCGGTCCTCTGTCGCTTTCTGTCTCTCTCGTCCCGTCTCATCTTCCGGGCGGGGGCCGACCCTCAGAAGCTGCCACACTCCCGCAGCACGCGATTTCCCAGCGGCAACGGTGGACGGAAGTTGTTGATCACCTGCGTAGTGTCAAAGAAGAAAGAAAAAAGAAAGATCGAGATTATATAAAAACGAGGGCGTGTCGCGCGGTGTATGCGCCTCGTCGATCCGAAATACATTCCCGCTCGTCGCCGAGACGACGCGGTGGCCGCGCGGTCGTCGACGTCTAAGGCACGTCTTGGCCGCCTAAAAATAGCCGCCGGCGGCGGGTATATTCGCGTATGTATATCGAGCGAAAGAGAAAAAGAAAAAAAAAACAAGGAAAAGAAAACGCCGACTCCGCGCTGCGACGATATGCATCAGCCGCGGTTGGAAAATGGTAATCGCGTCGCCGCAGAGGCGTTCGCCGTGTCACATTGATCGTAAATCGAGATTCATTTATCAAACCGCGGGAATAGAAGCTATATCGAGGGGAAGCAAGCGATACGAGGAATCGTTTAGATAAGGGACAAACGACGCGAAGCGGTCGCGTTTCGCGATACCGGAGGGTTGACCGGAGATAAAAAGAATAAATAGCAAATTGCGGAAACGGAGGTGCGATAATTCCGTGCGACATTTCTCTCTACTGCTTACCACTCCGTGATTCTCGTGGCACGGGCACTCCTCGCCACGTGGGAACTTTCGCAGATTGCGGAAGATGTTGAGCTGATGATGGGACACCTCGATGTACTTTTTGAAGAGGATCCAAGTGACGCTCTCGTTGCACGGCGGCGTCGTCAGGGAGCCCAAGTACGTCCAGTATCCGTTGTCGTCTAAATTATAGAGAAGAATTGAGATGGTTTCTCGCGTTTTATATGTGCGCAAAAATAAGACGAAAGGAAATTTATAGATTGACGGCTAAAACGATGCAATAAAGAGATGTTCAGAGGTGCAATTGCTTAAATTAGCGGTAACATGCTAAAACTAGCGTGACGGATATTATATTATTCGATCGCATATTTTAAAATGTGATCGCGTTTGTGATTTTAATTAAGACATTAGAATTAATATTGAAATAGCTACGTCGTGTCGAATTTCATTTGGAGGTTTAATTGTGTCTCGAAATCCGTTCTCGCGATAATGTCTTTTAAATTAAGTGAAATATCCCCTTCCTTCTATTATCCTTCGTGGGTCGTATAAATCGCAGTAATGGAGGGAATTACACGATTTGATTAATGTACTGTCCTCCGGAGAAGCCTATTTCGTGTACAAGCGCGGACCCTCCATTCGTCTTATCTTTCGGTGTCATCGCCTAATACCCGAGCGACATTTCTCCGAAATAATATCGATAAGTAACACTATAATGAGGACATATTACGAGGTGAATGCCTGGATAAGAGTCTGGATGTAGAAATACTTGAAATATTTTCACGCATTATACACAACGTTTAGGCATATCGCTTACGAGAGATAAAGAAACAGTGCGCACTTAAGCACGATTACATTGTGTGGATGGTATCATTAACATGCGATATTCGTACATAGATAATTCGCGCTTACGAGAAATAAAAAATCAGTGAACATTAATAATAAGCAGAATTAAATTGCGAGAACGTTATCGTTAACGTGTGCGATATTCGTATACGGTTAATTCGCTTGCGAGAGATAAAGGACTAGTGGACACTGTTAACGATAAGCAGAATTAAATTGAAAGGACGCTATCGTTAATACATGCGATATTCATATGGATAATTGGCTTGCGAGATATTCGTATGTATAATTCGATAATTCGCTTACGAGAAATAAGTAATCAGTGGACTCTAACAATAAGCAGAATTAAATCGCGAGGACGCTATATATCGTTAACATGTGCGATATTAATTCGTACGGATAATTCACTTGCGAGCGATAAAGAATCAGTGGACATTATAACAATAAACAGAATCAGATTGTGAGGACGCTATCGTTAACATGTGCATTGTGCGATATATTCATATAGATATAGACATACAAAATTTAATACGTACTCACAATACACGTAATCACAATACGGTAAAATGAGAAACTTCAAAAAATTGATATAGGGATCGTATTTCGCAGAACGACTATTCTCCTCACGCAAAAATAAATCTCTTTTGTGTCAGGATGTAAAAAAAAAAAATACCAATTACTGCTACGACGTGCAGCGTCACATGCCAATCATCATGCCTATGACATGCATCCATCCCGACCGTGCGCGTTTGACATGCAAGGCTTCGGAAAATTGGAGGCTGCTCGAGAATAACCGAAGATGTAGGATAATCGCGCTCGAGGCGTTTCTTTTTTTTTTTTAAGGCGTTTCGCTGAAAAGCGGCAGCCCCACGCTCGAGCGCGCAGCATCTCAAGTCTTTCGCGCTCTCTCTCTCATATTTTCTCGCACGAACTAGTCCAAGGCGATACGAACCTTGGAAGTCCCATTTGTTCTCGTGGCGTGGTATGATTCGGTCGGCCCAGCGCATGCACGGATTCACGCATCTCTGCGTGCCGGCCCGTCCGCCGCGCACTGTGCGTTCCGTGCGCGACGCGAAGCGAGAGCACAGAGCATATGCGGGAGAAATTTCGTTAGTCGATGGGTTATGCAAAATGCAGAGGCACGCGCCAGATGATTGTTAACGAGCCGCTAACGACGATTTCCGTCATCTTATAGAGAGACGGTTTGAATACTTTTTGGCACCGTTTGGTGTTTGGTTTAATTTGGCTCTGCGGTGAGCCAGGTTTATAAATGTATATTATATATAATAATATATAATAGAAAAAATATATTATTATACATATTTTATACTATTTAAAGAATATAAAATTATGTATATATATAATTATATTTACGTATATTTAAAGATAATTAAAGATAGATAAGATTTCGAAAGAATTTCGATTGAAAGTCACTTGACTAATTTCTGATTTCGCAGTCATCGGAACTGTTTCTCGTTCGGATTAATGAATAAGTCAGGACAATTACGGACTACGTTAAGGCCGATCCGATACGATCGGCTTGCGCAAACAAGTTTAAGCTCTTTAACAATTGAATATTACAGGAGGAACAACAAGAACACGGACACTGTACATCGACGAGTAGACGGAATGTTTGATCAAAGAGACGATCACCGAATTACCCGAACGATTATTCGGGTCGATCGTAACTTACCGGGAAGAAGTTTACCGGGGTCGATAGGTTCCGTAATTTCCACGACCTCGTCCTTGTGCGAGACGTACGGCAGCAGCCGCGCGATCTTGTCCATTTCTTCGTGAGTCTTGCCGACCTAGAAGCAAAGTCTCTTTTGCTTTCTTTTCTTCTTTTTTTTTCGATTGTAATGACACACGGTTTCACGAGGCCGCCAGACATAATTAAGCTGCTCTCTCTGGAACTAACGAGCTCTACTCTCAATTATAAATCTTCCGATCGGTAAAAAGATATCGCGTATCCCGCAGATATACGTTCCGCAAACGTGTTTATAATTTCATAAAAAAATATTTCGCGTTAAAAGGTGCAAGAACTTGTCGCGAAGTTAATAGATCTCGTTGTCGGGTACCTTTAAGTAGCGGCCGTAAATTATCGCGAAATAGCGGCACGAGGAAACAAAAGTATATAGACGCGATAAAAAGACGCTCGACATTGAGCCGTTGCTTACGCAATTTGTCATTTGTAAAATTGCCTGGCGCATTGTCGCCGTGGCGCATTATTGCACGTGGCGCATAAATTTCCTTCGATACATATGTGCGCTCCTCCCCCTCGCGCTCTTCGCGCGACTTCAAACGCATCGCGAAGCTGCGCGCGACGTTACGTAAGAAATAATCGCGATGTGCACCTCGCGCGAGGAAAGCGCTCGCCTCCACGAGTTTTTCCTGCTCCTCGAAGGTTTATCGTGTCCTCGTAATATAATGTCGCGGCGAGGAGGTGTATCATTCGCGCAAATAGAATTTTGCAATTGCAGCGATCCTCCCGTCGTGTTCGCCGCGTTGAGATATCGCGAGCCGCCGCGGCAGCAACCTAAATATTAGACACACAAAGCGCTGTGCAAAGCGGAAGAGGGTAATTGCCGTTGCACGCGATCGAGGTATTCTTTCGCTATACGAAATGCGAACGGTAGCACGTACACGTCGCGCGTACGCGGCCCGACGAAAACGCCCGGACATTTGCGTGCCTCGTTACGGAGTTCGATACGGCGACGGCCGTAAAATTACGTCCGCGTCCCCGCGTTTACATAATAGCTCATTCGGCGGCTATCGGCAACGATGACACCTCCGCACCTCCAACGGAGTGATTCTGCTTATGCAGCTTACGTCTTATGTAAAAAGCTTAAATGGCTATAGACGGACTCGCAGACCGTCGCAAGCGAATACAAGCGAATTAGAATCCCGAGTGGAAGAGGTGTGGCTTCCGCGGGCTGACGACATGCTTGACGAACCAATGTATAAAATATTCAAAATGCACGACATCGCTTTCAATAAAGACGAACAAGATGAAGAAAAAAAATAGTTGTCCCATTTTTAATATAAGTACGAAATAAATTAGATGTACAAGTTTCAATTAGATTGATTGTAATTGTCCAAGGAGAAATTAAAATACTTGATTATTAAAATTATTTTTAACAATTATAATTACAATAACCGCAACATGCCCGTTTATTTAACGTTTAGGGCGCTACGTACCTTAAGGAAGACTCCCAGAACGGCCAGCCCGTCAGAAGCTTTCGCGGCTTCGGCGAAGGTCTTGTACTTGCTGGTGTTCCAGTGCACAAGATGTAGCTGAAACCAACGTTGCCCTCCAATGAATCTAAATCGTTGCGTATTAAGTCTAATAGCGGGCAATCAGGGATGAGGAGCGGAACGCGGCAGGTTGACCGAAGCTATACATATATACATATAACGAGTACTTAATCCCTACAAATGGCCAATTAAGAAATATCAATTTCTGCATTTGGATCGTCGGAGAAATTCAATGATTATATATTATTACCTTGTCCCATTTTTTTCGATTATCCGGCACAGTCTTATACAAGGGTCAGAATTTAGAATATTCTTCTTGACCGCGATTTACGTCACCGGATCAAAAAAACTTATCGTCGGCGTCGATAAATGATAATTGCATTTGACGGGTGGTCGTTAGAGAGATTATGTAATCAGTGCAGTAACTGGACGCTCTCTCTGAAATCCGTGCGGATATCCGTGCATCCGATCGACCCGGTTTCCCAGATACGAGATATCGCCATATACGGCGGGCTAGGGGGAGGATATCACTTATATCCTCGCGCGCGTAGAGTCCGAGGCGAGCGTTGCGGCGCGTCGCGTGATTTTTTTCCCGGAAGCAGCGCACCCGAAAAGGAGGAGAGCGTGCGCGGTATTCGAATGCGAAGTCATTGGCGATCGCCAATCGACTCGCTAATGCGCTTAGGACTCGACTCGGTTTAATTAACATCGGGTTCAGGCCGGAAAGTCGTCGCGCGGCTGTGCATTGATTTCCAAACAAAGTCGCGCGATCGTTTGGCGAAAGGAGTCCCCGCGTCGTGAATTCACATTCGAGAACGACATTATCTTAAACGATGCCTTGTTGATCGATGCCCGCATGATTGCTGCATGAATCGCGTATGAAATTTTCCACGCATTGAAGAATCATCGATATTTTCTCGACCGACGGGCAGGGTCAAGCCGAAGTCAACTGTATTTATGATAGATTAGAGACCTCATTGCCGCGCAAACGATTGCATAATCGGAAGCGATTTAATCGCGAGTCGAGGCAAACAAATGTATTTTGCGCTCGAGAAATAGGCGCGCGAGCGAGGCGCGCTTGTTATTCCGAGAAAACGGGCTCCCACGGACGGGCTCGTCCATCCCGGGGAATTGTTGTCCAGGAAATACGCAATTTTCCGCCGGCTAATTATATTGGCATCCTTTTCACAATTCGAACCGCCCGCCCGCCCGCGTCGTGTTTGTTCGTCTTCGAAAATTCCTTCGCCCAACGCGCGCACAGCTTGTGTGGACGCACACCTCGTTACGCGAGTCGGCTATTATTCGCGCACGCGAGTGACGGGTTTCGACGATAATGCCCATTATCGTTTCCACTCTGCGCGCGCGTCTGTTATTTTTTTTTTCCTTTTCCTTACTCGCATGTACGCGGCTTTGTTGAACGCACGCGCAGCTGCCAGAGCATAAAAAGACCTTTGACACATCGCTGGCATTCTATCAACGCGACGTGTGTGAGACGATAATAGAGTATTATTTATGAGAGAAATGTGAGACGCCCGCGTACTTATATTATTATAATGTATGTCTGTCCGCAATTAGCGTCTCTGTACCGCACGTGGACACTCCATAAAGTTTTATTTATATCCGCAGGAAAGAAAGAGAGAGAGAGAGAGAGAGAGAGAGAGAGAGAGAGCTATCTCTCTCGCGTCGTCCATAATGTATTTGTGGACTAATAACCGAGACTTATCCTCCAGTAAAACGATCGCGCTAATAAATCGTACACGGCGGTTCTCGGACATGCAAGGTCGACGCCGCCATAAGCTCCTATACGCGGATGAGCTCGCAAGCAGAGTGAATCATACTCTCTAATGTGACCGGATTGTTAATGAGCTACTTTGTCTATACAAATGGAATAATTGCACTCGTCATTTTTAAGCCGTTAAAATCGAGTTAGCGGATCGAGCGGATTCAAGGGCGCGGAATAGGGAACGGTTACATCAACGCTCTTTAAAGAAAGAGATAATTATGTACTATATATTCTACTATAATTATACTCTATTACTAATTATATTCTATACCTCTCCGGCGAAGGCTTGCCCGTCGACCGTATGCTCGGATCCCCTGGAATCGCTGCATCCCCAGTGACAGTGATACTGCTCGAGTTTGTAGACATCGTCCATCAGCGGTCCGCCGCTCAAAACTGTCTCGACAACACAAAAATCGAGATATAATGTTCAAACGAGTGCATATGCGATACGGGAATATCGCGGGACGCAAATGAACGGGTAAACGTCTAAATTGGATCCGCAGACGTAAGCGTGGAATTTTTTGGAGCACGCTTCTGCGAAACGTCACGAACGGACGTAACTCGGACCGATGGCAGAGGCCGGCTTTATTACAGGATACGCTTGATTAGCCAAACTACGTGCGAACGGGAGCTACAACGAGAGAGAATCGCGCTGCATTTGCACCGCGTGACTCATTTGCGTCGCGACGCATTTTATTATTATTATTATTATTATTTTGTGTCTCGCCTCTGTTTTGACTACGATAAATTGTTTGGGAAAGTTTGGACGCGCCAAGTCTACATGTTCTCTCGCGGAATTTTCCGAGTGTACATCAGGAGACTCTAAAATTATTTACTGTGTGCAGCAGGCGCCATGCGAAAATTTTCACGGGGATGTTTGTGCGCTTCGAAAGTTATTTCAGACCTTTAAAAAATAAAAAATAAAAAAAATATGTTGCTCCGAAAGAATTGTATTTTATTTTTTAATTACTTCGACTACTATCGATTAATTCTCTTATTCTGCAGTAAATACGCAATTTTTAATACTGATGGATAATTTTTGTTATTGAATTCCTCGAAAGGCCTCCTCTTATGGCGAGTGCCTGCTAGGTGACGTCGTGACTTTATTATCGCGACATTCTATCTATTGTTTTGTGTCACATGTTGCCGCACAGAGCGCTCTGCTCCGCTTCTCGTGCCACATATGAATACACATACAATACGCCACGGCACGGTCGTCCTCATTTCGAATATACGCCCCGAGCGAGCCTTCGGCGAAGGTAAAAGCCCTCCCTAAGTGGCACGAAGTCGACAGTGAGAGACCTTCGTAATGATATATATATACATATATGTGTATATGTATATACGGGGATCGGGTGCTCGCCCGTCGGGAATTTTCGCTCACCGTCCCCCGCGGCGGCGTGTAATCTCTCTCGGAATACATAACACCGTGACAAAACAAATCGCATCGCGTTCTTTTCCTTACGTAAGGTGTGCATGATGCACGAAATTAATAAAAAGCATTATGTAACTTATTCGTGCGCAGAGAGAGAGAGAGAGAGAGAGAGAGAGAGAAAACATCTTATATAGCTCGCCGCAAAAGCGGTGGAATTAACACGATTTTAATCACGTTCGGCAACCGCTGCCAACGATAATGTTTACAGAAGTGCGCTTAAGATGGAATGCGAGGCCGAGAATCGCGAACACAATTATCTAAAATTATACTGGATCGCTCCATCGCTGGATGGACGAGCGACGCGTATATATAGCGCGTCGATTTCGCAACTTTGCTGCATGCACTTTGCGGCCACGGTGATCTGCAATTTAGAGATTCAACCGCAATCGCAGCTTCAGATTTCCCCTTGGAGGAAAAAAAAACCGTTTTTTCGCTCACGTGCAATCTATGCTAGGTGTTGATCTCTCTCACCTCTTGCGATCGTCATTGGTCATCATTAAGTACCATTTATCCGCGGTGCTTCGATACTTCGACGTCTTTGAACGTTATTCGCGCCGCGATAGATCGCGGTCTAAATTTTTCGTGGCGCAGAGAGGAGAAAGGAATGTGAAAAAAAAGAATGGGAGCAAGATTTCGTATTGCAAAGCGCGACACTCACACGTGCCCTCGCCGTCGGTGTCCACCCGCCAGCAGTAACCGGGATTGACCAGCTTCCGGGACGCTGTGGCGGGATACTTCCAACGCAGGGGCTTGCTGCTCAGAGCCTCGTGATCGGATTCCACCCGTTTGGTCTCGATGTTCACCGGGCTCTGCCTGGAGCCGGCTGCCATCGGGAATTTCGTCACCCACGTACTGGGTCCTGCGACATACACACGTCAAAGTTGTTAAAAAAATTAATAAGTAATAAATTCAGGTCACGATCGGTGTCGCAAACAGATAAATTTTGATGAATTTGTTGCGGTGACAAAAGATCAGCGAAAATAAGATAGACTGATTGATTGAGTATCTATTTTCCTCGGCTTATACCTAATCGATTCGTGAACATAATTTCGCGACAGGAATGTCACGTGTATCGTGACAACAAGATAGTACAGCTCGGTGATACGAGCTCAAGCTCAAGGAAATTAAGAAAACTCGCACGCCAAGCTCCGAGTGCGAAACAAACTCTTTATCACGGTACACGTGACGTGCTGATAATAGATTCAAGTTCGCATTTATCAAGATTCCAGTTTACCTTCAACCATTATAAAGTTTGTTCTTCCTATTTAATAAAACATAAAAAATGTGAATAATATTTGCTAGAACAATAACATTTACTCATTACGATGCATTATTAACGAGGCGATGAGTGACTTGAAGATAATCCATGAAGGCTACACCGAACTTATATGTAATTTATTGTACATTCAATAAACTTAAATACTAATTAAAAATTAGCGTCTGCGAATGTCAGGCCGAGTGTTAATTTCAACAATAAACACGCAAAAGCTGATCAAGCATATTATCCGTAATAATCTCGCGTACTCTCCTTATCTGGCGGCGTGCGTCACGTGCCGACGCATTAATCTTTCTTTATCGGGGCACGTGGTACAAATGTTGTTTTCTTTGTAATTAGATGTCGAACGTGTCGTTCTAGCGAGCGAGAGAGCAGGAGAGCTGAGAAAAATTTATGAATTAAACAAGAGCCGATCGATTGATTAGCACGAGAACGGGAGATTCGCGACGTTCGAGCCATCGCCGATTTCCGCGAAATCGTATTTAATTGTGAGATCACCACGTGATGTATAGTGTATTCTCATCTGACTAGAAGTTGTGGTCAATCGATCCGATTGATCAAAGTGGCAATTAAATTCGCGGAATTGAGCGTTGTGACTCGCTTCACCATATTACATTCAAATTCACCTACAGAGTTGTATTTGAGAGAAAAGGAAAGAGATTAGCTCATACAATATAAATTATCCAAATCTAAAGGTACAAAAATTCAGGAATACAAAAAAGATAATATTTTAAATTTATTGTTAATTATTGCTATAATAATTAATATTATTACGTAGCGAGATATCATTGTGTCCCTGAACGCAATTCTCGCAGCGAATATTTCAGCAGATCTACACGATGCTCGCATAACCGTCCGTAAAATTGAAAAGCGCGGAGCTCCGCAGAGTGAGACGAATTAGTCATTCGCGGAGCGAGTAAGAAATCCGTCCGCGCGCGCGGCATTGAGGCTGGCGTCACGTGAATTCCCATTGAAGGATAGCTCCGCGGTAGTATAAATAAAGCAGCCGTTTATCCGGTTCGAGCCGAAAAAGCCGCGATAACGACACGCGAAACGACGTGGACTCGCGACGTTTTTCAGATAACGAATTGAAACGAAAATTATCAGCGGTTTGCAAACACCGCGGCGAGGACGTTGAATGGAGATAAGTCAGGGGCAATTAGACAGTATCTATTTTTCTTTTATCAGTTATATGCTAGTAATATAGACGGCCTAGATATAATTTCAATATCTAAATATGCATTCAAATTACCTGGAGTTTATTTTTTTTCTATTTAATTTATTATTCTCTCGGGAATATTCCGATCATATTCGTTCGCGCATTGCTTAAGTATTCCTCTATGACGTCAAGTTAGTATTTTACATGATTAAATAACATTAAAGGATTCCATTTATTGGGGTCAAGAATAGAGTCTTCATTCATTATAACAAGCTTGGTTTAATCTTATGCGCGCGTGCTTGATCATAATTAACTATCAATTTAAGCATTTTAAACGATGGAAAATTACAGTAACATCAAAATGTTACTGCTATGTGAGAGATTACGAGAATCGATATTATCGCCAGTCGACGTGACGACTCGAATCCTTCGTCGTAGAGCAGATAGTATAAGAACGACGCTCGCTTGAAGGTTCGTTCAACCTTGCGACATGATGATTCAACGAATCGCAGGAAATATCGTAAGGTCGAATGCGAAAAACCGTGAACGCACTTGGCAAATATTTCTCTTTCTCTTTTTCTATCCCTCTATCTCTCTCGATATCGCAATCCTTTTGTGCCAATCAAAAATCTTAGCACATCTCCCGCACGTATGCGTTTTCCATCCATTAGATTATTGATGTTGCAATCCTGGGGCCCGTCAGCTGCCATTATCGAAGACTCGACATTACGTTACGTATAAAAAAAAGTGGTCGTTTAATGACAGCTAGGTCTCGGCACGTTCCGCCGTGCGACGTGTCGCGCGATATTTAGATATCTCTGTCGTGAAATCTCTCTCCTCACTCGTTTTATTTATATCCTTAATGCGCGCTGCATAGTATCACATTGGATAGCAAAAAATTTCTATTCGATATTCACGAGTCGCGGATCAAAAGACTGCGACGCAGGTCGATCTTCCTTTTGACTCGTGAGCGAATGTTAATGCGTTTTAAAATATACGGCATATTTAATAAACGTTAGGGAAAATAGGAGGGAGAGAGAGAGAGAGATAACGCGTCGTCGGTATTAACGAATGTGCAAATAAGTCGTCGTACGTAGGTTTCGCCTATGCGTGCATACCTCATAAGCGCACGCCTAGAACGGCGGTCGTCGCGGCGCGGGCAATTTACAAGTGAATCGTCGCGAACGAAGACGCGATCCGCGCGCGGCGACCGTTTCGCGCGCGAGAGAGAGGATTTCTCCCGCGATATTCTCCGATTGTGAACTTTCTTTTTCTCGCTCCCGGTACGCTCGCCGATATTCCCACGCGCCCCGCGGACGACGCGATATTTGCGCAGCGCGACGATTAGCTGCAGAAAGAAGACTCAACGTTCGCGACGATTTACGTTCGCACGCGGTACACAATCGTGAAATATCACCATCCTTTTCGTGGAACACGAAACGCGCGAGCCAGTAAGTAAAGAAAATTCTCCTCGCGAGATCGCTCGCGCTCGGAGAACTCACCTTGTGAGTCTATAAAAATTCTAGATCGCACCTGTAGATATATTCGAGACTTGGCTCGAGGGATCTCTTTTTTTTTTAAATCTTAACGTAACAATGAGAGCACTTTCTATTTTTATCCCGGATGGAACTCGATTGAAATCACATTCGCCTCGGCGACAACCTAAATCGATAGGAAGCACCGCGATAGCACTCTGGTGTACAACACACGAATCGGGGAGCTTTCTTATGAGCTACCCAGTGTTTTTATTAATTTTGTTTAACATTTCGGACGCTCTCTATCTGCCCTAAAAGACAGACCACCTACTCGGGCTTCGACTTGATTACGACGCGCTAATTAGTAATCGCCTAATTGTTACAGTTTGCGCAATCTTCTTGGGTCAGTCCATGCTTCGTACGTCGCTTACAATTATCTCATATATATGCTAATTAACTGAGATAGAATATCTGTCTTCTTCATTCACTTACAGGCACGATCGGAACCGACGCGACGTTCCGGTACTCGTTAGGCGAAACGGGGTGGAATACTCAAATAAGGGGATCGCGCCGTTGCGCGACTTCGTGCATCGGCGAACGTCGGCCTCGATTACTCAAAAGATCCGAATTAATCCGCCTATCGGGCGTAATTTCATTTTCAGCGCAGTATAGCGTTCCGAAGATATCGAGGGCAGAATTAGAGTCAAGGATACATATCCTACGCGCGAGACGATCACCGCGGTGGCAATCGGGCCGAAGTTTCTCCGATCCACGAGCGTCGCGCGAGCCAAGATAAATCCGCTCGGAAAACAATTTTGCTCGCGGCCGTGGGACCCGCAATTACGCGAGCGGCGGCGTCGTGGGAACGGCCGGCGGATTCTGCCGAAATAATTGATGACGGCAACGAATGCATCGATCAATTTCAAGCGAACGAGTCTCTCGCGGTCGCGACCGTTACCGCGCCGCGCGTTCGGAGAGCGCCAAACGACTTAATCATGCCTAATCTACGGAGGTTTCGCCCTCTCAGGTTTTGGCAGCGGGCCGATTCCCAAGGATTCGCACACGTCGATCCATGAATCCTCTTGGTACGCCTCGTATGCCCTCTTCCCCCGCTCACCTCCTCTCCTTCCCACCTGCTGCCAAGCTCGCCCCGGCGCGCACACAATCGGCTGAAAGATAGCGCTGACAAATTGACTCGAGATTAAGGGCGTTTCGGGGGCATGCTGCACGGCAACCCCGCGGTGGCGGAACAAAGTGAAACTGGGTCTGCGACCCCCTCCGGGGTGCTTTTGGTGTGCGTGCCCGCGTCCGTGTGCCCCGCGCGCGCGTGTGTGTACTTTATGCACAGGTGCATCGGCCTATACCGGCACTACGGAAGAAAACTATTGATTTTCATTTACCCCGCGGAGTCGTGCCCCGCGTTTCACGAACGGGTTGCGAGGAAAGAAGCAACCCTCTCCCTCCCCCCCCCCTTCCCTGCCCCCTCCCCTCTTGCCTTCGGCGTCGCTTGGCACGGCCCGTTCGCCCTGCATTCGGGCGGGAAGACAATGGCCCCCGGGTCAGTGAGCCCGCCGCGGTGCCATCCGGAAACCGAGACGAAAATCGAGCGGACGGAGATGGTGGCGCGGGCGGGAAACAAAACGGACTCCCTAACAGGGCTTTTCTCTCCCCCCGGCACGAAACGTGTCGACATGTGTCCCGAGGCCTCGCATGCAGGCGCGACTAATGTCTAACACATGTGACCGCGTTTTTAACGCTGCGGAGATGCGTTGATTGAAATGAATGACGAACGAAGGAGGTCTCGACTCGAGGGGTAATTCCTAAAATGTAATCTATATATCGTATATAATATGATTAAATTGATATTTATAAAAATCACTGAAGCTAACGATGGCGAAGCACTTGGCGCAAAAAACCAATCGAGGGTTTATCGCGTGCAAATGTCCCGCGGCCGAAAGATTTCTAATAAGATATTATTATTTGAAGAATTAAGGTTGTGGCGTGAGGATCGATAATTCCACGGGAGAAAAACAAACGGACGCAACACGCGGTTATTTCCACACTCGGGGTTTTCCCAAGATCCCAATTCGAAAAGGAAAAACTTTACGAAGAGGAGAAAGAGATTTACACGTGCCGCCCATTTTTCCCGTTATCGCTCCTATATTTAATAGAGCCTGAGAATGAGAAAGCGTGTGGCCTTACAACACGAAATGAAAAAGTTAGACGGATCCACCGTCCAACTTCTCAGTGTTATGCGTGTCCAGAGAGAAAGAGAGAGAGAGAAAGAGAGAGAAAAGAGAAATAAAGAAACCGTCATCACCGCGCCACAAAAGTAAAAGAGAAAATCTCTGTGGAATTTGACCGTTGCCTTAAAGGCCAAGAACCTTTAATCAGTCACGCTTGTGTTTGCTCACAAACGCATTCTTGACCGTCGCATTTTCTTTCACACATGACGATTACTTCTCGGAAACAAGAAAACATTCCGTTTTACAATGAAATCGGCTCGCCAGTCCCCCTCTCGCAAATGGGATTTAATTAACTGCCGCGATAGGAATTATCGCGAACGCGAACGTTTGTTCGTTCGTCGTGGTTAATCTGGAAAACGAGATAGCAGGCTGCCAGCGCGGCCAGCACTGATTGTAACGTTAAGCACAGAAATGCAGAAATACTCGGTTGTATATGAATATTGAATGTATGACGATTGACAAAGTGGCCAATCAATAATTTCTATGCGTGCTTATCAGAAGCAGCGTACAACGAGGAAGAGCGGGCAGAGTGCCCGCGCGATTTGTAGGAAAATCGTCGATTTTACACGTAATTACAATCGCCGCGGACGGTTAATTGCCCGAGAGTCACAATTTCCTTCCGTTCGCAACTTTTCCTCCGTAATTTCTATTCGCAAATACAATATTAATTAACAATTGATGAAAAACTGGGCTATAATGGAGAGTTAAACGCGCGCGGTACTTGCTGCGTAACTACATCAAAAAAATTTTAATAATACTTCATTTTGTTCAGCAACATTAATTTCATATTAATGAATTTCTGGACCGCGTATGTGAAAACAGAATTTACAAATACGTTCGCGCAACGCGTTCATTTGCGATTCAAATTCACTGATTGAAATTTGCTAGTCATTCCTGACGCGACCGCGACATAAATTCGAGATCACCTCGCGTAGCGTTAAACCCCGCGAGCGGTGCGTAAAACGTCGCGAGAGGCACTTTTCTAAACATTTCTATTTCTTTTTTCTCCTTACCGTTGCGGAAGTAGTCCCACTCGTCCTTCGAACCCATCGTCGCGTCCGATTCGGCCTGGATGCCCACGGGAGGTCGAGGTCCACTAAATTGAGGTCCCAGCAGAATTCGCACCCGCTCGTCTTGACCGCTTGCGCGTCGACTCGCGTCGATCGGACGCACGAGCACTCGCGTCCCGTGGTCGCCGGTGCGTCGGGGAAGCGCCGGGATCGTTTGGACCACCACGTTAGAGTCTCGCGACGTTTTCGAGGGGGCCGCGAGGCCGACGGCGCGATTCGCGGCCTTCGCGATTTTTCAACTTCACGAAACCCGCGGCGGGTTTCACCGAGCAGGTTCCGGAGATATAGAGGAGACCTTCGCCAAAGCTACACGAGTGCGTCACTGCGTCGCGCTTCCTTCCGTTACGCCGATACTTTCCCCGCGGCGCGGCTCCGTCGAGTTTCTCCCTCGTCTTCGCTTCTTTTTCCTGCGCGATCGGGAAAGCGACCGGTAGTAGGCTTTTACGCGTCCTACTCCGACGGCGTTAATACCGGCCGGCGCATCGGCACCGCTTTATATCGCGCGCGGTCACGTGACCGCGCGGGCGCGCATGCGCCGGTAAATATTTACACGTGCGCGCCCACCACGCGTGCACATTGCACGTGCATGCAGCGCGCGGCGCATGCGACTCCGACGCACGGATCGATGATCGATAAATAATAACTGGGATATGTCTTATTCATACGATTTTTTTCCGGAAGATTTCACTTCAAATATTTAATAAATCGCTCTTGAATTGCTACCGTTAATTTCATCTTCAATTTTCTACTATAATAATAGTTATTCTATTGTGATATTGTAATTTTCCGAGACAATAATTCGTGACTAAAACAATTTTAATAAAATGCATGCGATCTTTGTTGCAACATTTGAAAAAAAAATGCATCTTTCGATCATTTTTATCCAATAAGTAAATCACGACGCATGTCAACAAGTGTAACAACAATTAAACTCTTGTTGTTAACGCTAGTTAATTATATTGATGCTATTGCGGAAGATATGTTTAGACTTTAGCTAATGGAACTGTAACGACAAGATTAGAACGCGCATCACTTCCTCGAAAGAAAGATGTTTACCCATCTCCCTTCGCGTTTGCAATGCGATGAGCAATCTAATCGTCCGAGAGTGGCATACACGACTCTCTTTATCACTCACAGATAATGTCGTTCCGGCGTGATGTTACGTCACGGAACGTGCTGCAAGTTACAGCGTCATAATTTCGTTTTTATTGCGCCAATAAAGAGAGTACCTTCAATAAAAATTAACGATACCCAGCGGATTCCATGCTATTAAACGTCAATAATTTCTCGGTTGCTCGATAATGTCTCTTCGTATATGTAAATTAATTTTAAGATTCTTTTATCGTTATTTATTCGTAAATGTACATACACGGGATATCTCGATGGTATTTTATCTTTTCGACTCGATCAATCCTTGAAACGCGGTGAATTGCAACGATTTCCTCACGACATAGAATATTGTCGCGAAATCTTTCACACAGATACGCGTGAGAAGCGTGTAATAAAATAATAAATCGATTAACCCAATAAGAGATATTTAAGTTTTAAGCTTGAGAAAATTAAATATTTCCAATTTTTTGTCGATTTTTATAACAGATTATATACATATATATTATAAAAAAAACTATCTTAAATGTAAAAATTTAGGACATCGTGATCTGCAATGATCGAAAGATAGGAATGTAAACGGAACGATAATACGTACTTACCATTCATCTTTGAACAAACAAGATATATATCAGCTCACTTCCGAAAGAACTTTCGTAAAGCTCTATTTTAAGCTCCTTTATCTTCTTATCTTCTTTTATGATGCAACCTTGTCTCAGACAATCAATGTGAAAAGTGTACTTATTTCTTTGCATGTGATGCAAGTCAGCGACATAAACTACTTTGCATGTCAACGCGTGGGACGAATAGAAAATCATATCGTATCGCGGTCTTGAAGATCTTATATAATCATGGGAATTTGAGTATTCGAGTTACATCACGTTTAATGTGCTTCCTTGCAATCTGCAAGATACCGAGCCACTTACATGCATGGATTCCTCTTAACCGTTTCGATCTTCACGAAAGCTATAAAAAGGAGGCTATTTTTCAAGCGCTAAATTTAAAGTTCATGATTTCATAAATATAAAATAAATTGTAAACTTAAATCTATTCTAAAATTTATGTACAATTCAGTTTTACTTTAATCCTTTTTTTTACGTGATTACGATGATTGTAATAATTTTATATAAAGGAAATATCGAGAATTGTGTAAGAAGAAATTCGAATAAACACAATCGAATACTATTAATCAAAGTTAAATAAAGCGATTATAATAAGTAAAATTAACCTTCGTCCAGTGACTTGTTTAACTGGCAGTTGTGGGATCCTCGGAGATGACGTCTCTTCGATTGTAATAATTTTATGTAAAGGAAATATCGAGAATTGTGTAAGAAGAAATTCGAATAAACCCGATCGAATACTATTGACCAAAGTTAAATGAAGTGATTATAATAAGTAAAATTGATCTTCGTCGAGTGACTTGTTTAACTGGCAGTTGTGGGATCCTCGGAGATGACGTCTCTATCGATTGTAATAATTTTATGTAAAGGAAATATCGAGAATTGTGTAAGAAGAAATTCGAATAAACCCGATCGAATACTATTGACCAAAGTTAAATGAAGTGATTATAATAAGTAAAATTGATCTTCGTCGAGTGACTTGTCTAACTGGCAGTTGTGGGATTCTCGGAGATGACGTCTCTAATCACGACTCATTTCCGAAGAGTTGAGCGCAAAGACGGAGCCACGCAATACCCTAAAATGGTTTTATTAACTCTTAACTTTACACGTGTTTCTTTGTCAGTATACTAGTCTCGAAGAGATATCTGTATATGTTTATCATTAATTCGACATGATTTTCTCCATTGATTATTCGACGAACCGTACTGCCACACGATCCCCGAGATAATCGTGCGCGATTCTCTTGGGACGCGGACTCGGTCCGACACGCCGTATTTTCGCGGATTTTGGTTCTTCCGTTTCCTCTCTCTCTCTCTCCTTCGAGATATGTCACTTAACGAGAAACTTAGAAGATAAGTATGTCGATGGCTTCGTTACCCAACGGAGAAACGCGTTCGTACGAAAAATGTTCCAGCCTCGATTTTCGCGAATATATCAACGCAAATGTTTTCTGATATATGTGTGTGTATATATATATATATATATATATATATATATATATATATATATCGAAGAGTTTTCACGAATAAAAATAATCTGAAAATTCCCGTCGATATGATACTTTTTTAAGTGTATATTATGTATATAATGTACAATTACGCTATTTCATTTCGAGTGACGCTTTGACATACCTTCGTTATAGATATTTGTCTGTCTCTCTTTCTCCTCCAAAATAAGACGATAAAATTCGCACAAATTGCAGACCGGTCTAAAGCATAATTCGAAACGAGATAACATAAATTGCGTGTATACGTATATAGCTATGTATACAACACATTCGTATAAGCGATGCGAGATAGTTTCTCCTTTTTCTCTCTCTCTCTCTCTCTCTCTCCCTGTAATGGAACTTTTTCACGTCGTGCCCGTCCCACGCGTTAGCCCGATTTTCTCTCAAAAAGCGGCCGAAAGTTACAGTCGCAATTAGCGTTACGCAATTTGCCGTCCCTTCCACTTTTATACACGCAGTTATAAAATACTTTCGATCCATTCTCACACAGGCCAGAAAAGTCGCCGCAAGCGAGAGTATGCTATATATTTGTGAAGTTTCATCCTTTCCTCCCACCCTGTTCAAGCGGGGAAGAGTTTCTCTCCCACACGCTTGTCTCCTCTTTCTCTCTCTATATATATATATCTTATAAGTATCGTACATGCCTATTTATACATTACCATCATTTTCACAGTAACGCAAGTTGCAGCGCTTAGGGGATATGCAACGACAGAGCGATGATATGATTAGAAGCGTGATATGGACTTGTGCTTGTTTACCGCAGATCACAGACGGAATATATACGGATGTCACCCTCTTCCGTTTGCAACGGCATCGCAAACCCTCGGTTTTCCCGAATCCATCCACTCTCAAATACCGTACCGCTACGTTACGTTTTCCGTCGTTCAGCCGCGGCATTATTACTTTGTGCGCATCTCGCCTGAAACAATAACTAGGACTTCGACGTGTCCGTATCGAATGTGAGTTTTTGATTTAGCAAAGATTTGACATACACGAAAAAAACGATTTTGCTGGAAGGTCTGAAAATTTTGCTAGATGCAAATGAAAATAATATTTTAAGTTCTTCAAATTATTTGAAAATAATTTTGTTGGACTTTAAAAATAATTTGGTGAAAACCTAAAAATAATTAACTGCTGTAAAACATCTTGATATTCTAGTAACCAGTTTGAATTTCCGACAAAATTATTTTTATGGCCCAACTAAATTATTTTTTAATCTGTATCCAGCAAAATCATTTTTTTTCCATGTACAGACGTCGATTATTTTAACATCCTCTTTGCGCGCGCGTAAACTTACATTTATTCTTCCAACGAGGATCGCGCACGCAAAAGAACATCACATTTGTAAAGATGACCCCACCTTGCGACAGCAAGTGGATTGCGTTGCATTCAGGTCTTAGCGTAAAAATTTAACACAGAAGATCTTTATTCGTACATTATATAAAAATAATAAGAAAACATACTTATACATATATTGGTTCACGTTATGAAAGCAATCGCGTTGCGACAATCACGGGCGACAATCGCAATCTCTCCCCTATCTCTCTCTCTCGTACAATTCTGCGATAAACAAGACGCGAGCGATGAAAAAGGGTAATATCCGGGAGGGAAAAGTCTTTGACACGCGACCGCGGCCGGCGATCCTCTCCCAGTCTTTCGCGAGCGCGAGGCGGTCGAGAGCCGGTGCGTTTAGTTACACTAAGCGAGAAAGCGCGTTTTTCTTCGGGGAATTACATATCGGGATGAATCCTGGCCAGAGTTTCGATACGATCCGCGCGCGAAGGAGAAGGAAGAATCCCCGCGCGCGCGAGTCGCGCGTGTGCGTGGCGGCTTCCCTCTGCTCCATGCACTTAAATCCTCTATACGTTATACAAAGACACGAATTAATTAGTCGTAATATTATATCGCGATTTATACCTTGCACATACGAAACATCCTCAGTTATTTTATCTCACATACAATATTAATCGTCAGCATTCATACCAGTGTATAGGCGCGCCCGCGAGCTCGTCGCTCCGCACGTCGTCCCGACGACGGACGGCGAGTGGAGCTCCTCCCCCCGCCTCACCTCCCCTCCTCCACGAAAGTTCGGGACGCATATGAAATTTCTTTCTTTCTTTTTTTTTCTACTCGTTTCTCGTATTTCCTTTTCAAAAATATCAGGAAACTATCGAGGTATCGAAGAAACAGCTGCGTACGCGTATTCGTCTACCGTACCCCCGCACTCTTTCGCCGCAATCGAACGATAAGACGAATGCGTGCACGTATGTGTATGTATGTGTTTCATATGCGCGCATCTCCCGCAACACGGCAGTTTAAAAAATTACAAAAATTATTGTGAAAAAAATGCGCCCTAAAGAGTGCGAGTCACGTTTCTTAGTCTGCCTTCTTTTCGCAAGTTACAAATATACGTCCTTATTAAACCTTACCTCTTGCGCCCGTTTTTATGTATTAATTATTTTTTGGCTTGGTAACTATGTAAAAGTCTAAAATTAAATAGTCCCGTCGCTGTGTAAACGTGCGCAGTCAGTGTTTCTCTTTTATTTTCGTCCTGAGTTAAGCCTTCGATGCCAACTATCTCGTACGCATTCGTGAACAAAATTCACGGGTCTGAGAAATAAAAAAAGAAAAGAAAGTTATATTGCGGCTGTTAATAATGTCGTAAAAATTGCGAAGCGTCGGATTGCGCATAAAACAAACAGTGGTGAGTGGGTCTCCTTCGTAAAAGTAAATGCCAATAACTCGATTGGTCTGGCAGTATTTAAATTACACTGTCCAAATAACTGCAGACTGACGTCTATCGAACGGCAAATAGGTATTAATATACATATTTATATATTTATATATATATTTATATTTGTATATATTACCTATCATTAGTTTTTCTTATCTTAGATAAGTTATCTGCATGGCCTACTGTGCCAATGGAAGCATTTGCTGTCACTTTGCAATGGCATTGCATGTATCATAATCGTTTTTCCTTTAAATGTCTCAAAAAACGTTTCAATTCTCTCTGATATTTTCTCCTTAACTATATAATAGCGATCGCCAAGCGAGCCAGTTTTTTCCCATTCATGCAGGGTACATTTAATTCCGTTTCATTCGTCGCGAATTATCCTAAATGGAGGGTTCAGAAAAGAAACTGGAATACGGACATTATATATACATATGTATATAATAGATAATATTATATTAATATATACTTATTAATATACATATATATATATATATATTATATATTTATAATATATGTAATATTATATATTAAATATAATATCATATATTTATAATATATATACATATACATCTCGAAACTTTCCCGCTTGGCGACACACCATGCATTTGTCGTTTCTGGCAGTGTTATACGTTGTAAGTGCGTAATATAATATGTATTTCGTTAAGTCTGTCGTTCTTGATACCTGTGGAGACTCTCTATAAACGGTAAATTGCGATAAATCCGTAGAACCGTACTAATTATAACGCGCTGTTTATTCACAGTCGGATACCCTTATTGCTTAATAAATGGCACTGATTATTGAAATATTTATGAGTATCGTTGCTGTCTCGAATGCTACAGAGTCGAATAAAGTACGTTTATACTCCCTACCGCTGTCCCGGTTTCTAACAACGATCTAAACTAAATTCGCGTATCGAGCAGTGACTTGTCCTTCCCTACAATTGAATTCTTTACGAAAGGCAACACGTGATTTGTATTCCCATATAACTCCCTAGAAAATCTTCCTTTTCTTTCGCATGAAATATATAGATGATTGAAGAAAGAGAGTGTACGTCGATCGTATATCGACTAAAGGAATAATTTTTTCTTTTCTTTTCTTTTCCTTTTTTTAAATCGATGATGAGACGTGCCGTTGTCGATACATATATAAAATAAGTAAAAACGTCGCGCGCGGATTTCGGAGAATTATGTTCTCGCGGAAGAATAATAATCTTCCATTCACGCCTCGCAAAAGCAGTATATTGTCTCATACCGGGTGAATGGAGAGGGGGGCCTTCGTTTCAAACGTCGCTATAAACGTTCAGAGTCCCACGATCGTCGTCGTCGTCGTCGCCAATTCGAGATTGCTTTTTATAATTAATTTGGTTTTGCTTGTGTATCGGTGAGTCTCCGAGCATTGCTAGCATATATTTACGCGTAGGCGAGTGCACCGTATTTTGTTAGGGAGGCACGTAGGGGGGCGGTTTCCTGTACGTCGGTGTGGGCTTGGGACGATTTTGCCGATTGGTGTCGCGATTCGTGGCGAATGGCGGTGGCGGTTGGTACGGCTCCTCGGAGTTCTCCTTCGGCAGCATCGGCATGTCGGCGCCGTCCTCGGCCTTCTGATACTCGGGCGGCGGAAGAGGTGGCTTCTCCTCCTTTAGAATCACGGGTGACTTATTGCCTGGAATCACGCGACGTGTCAGACGAGAAGGGACCGACGTATTCCGCGCTAATATATTTCTATTAATATACTTTAAATTAAACCATTACCGGGATCCGGCTTCTCGTCCAGCTCGTCCTGGAAAATCACGGGAATTCCCTTGCTCCGGAAACTCTGCCGCTCCTCATCCTGCTCGCTCACGCTCATCTTCCCACTGCGCCGTCGCTTGTGCAGCACGCACGCGATTATTCCCGCCAGAATGAGCATGGCGGCGATGATGATCGCAGGGAGAACGAAGGTGAGAAGGTAATCGTCGTGGAATGCGCCGATAGACGTGGAATCGTCCACCGGCGGCACGTGGCTGTCCGGCGAATGTACGCCCGTTAATTCACCGAGACAGATTCCCATCGGGATTACCGTGATCTGCTTCACCGGGAATTTCATGCCCATCACGTCCAAAACCTCGTCCGTCACGGAACGCCGATCGTTGTCGCTCTTCACGAGCACGGATCGCAGCCTGTTGACCTCGTCGTGGGCGCAAGTCGACGTAGGTAGAGTTCTGTTGTGCCACGTGATCACAGTACTGCCGTTCGAGATGTTATGCAGCGAGATAGCACTCGTGTCTCTGTCCCCGTAGAGGTCGCGCAGCTTCTCGATAAAATTACGCTTCTGAAGGGCGGAATGCGCGAAGTTATTGTAGGCGATATCCAGCGTCATCGAGAATTCCACCGTGTGCGCCATGGGAGGTGCCGAATGTACGACAACGACCAAACTATCCGTGGTGCTTGCACCTGGAGATTTTTAATTATTCAATTGTTATAAAATGTATTTTCGATTTTAGAAAATGGAATGTACATTCTTCTCTTTACCTTCTCTATCGGTGGCGACCAATTGGTATTCCTTGCGACCGATGTCGGTATTCATTGGCACGCCGTAAAATTCTTGATTCTTGCTGTCGAACTGCAGCCACTCGTGAGGTAGAATGGGTTGTCGGTCGTTGGTCAAAAGTGACATCTTCAAGTTTCGCGACGATCCATCCTCATTATCGAAGAATGTATCCTGCAAAAATAACATAGACAATTATTCGTATTGTCATTTATTGCACTGATAAAAATGATACGAATTTGATCAAACACATACCTCTGGCACTTTGAACACAAACAACTGGCCAACTGTTGCATTAAGGCGATCGATTTGATTCCTCGGTACCGGCGGGAAATTACTCTTCGGCTCTTCGGTAGAGACTTTTGGTACCTCGGGACGAGATATATCTTCGCATTGTCCAATACCCTCATACACGACACGCTTTACCCTGATTTCCGGCGCGAGAACTGCTCTCAGAGAAGCTGACGGATCTCCGTTACTGTCGACGAGTACCTGATAATACACCTCATTTTTAAAACCTGTGTAATTTGTTAAAAAAAAAAAACAGAGATGATATATAGCAATAATGCTTACGCGCAATAATCTGTTTATATGTTCTCTCGGGCATTCGCTGCTTCTTGGAAGACTATCATTAGTCCATGTGAAAGTGGCTTGCTCACGATCGACGATATTGATGGAACGAACTGTGATATGCTGGGTGTCCCTGTCTCCGTAAAGTTCAGCTAGGCTTTCGATTACCTATAACGAAAGACAAATTAGAGATCAACGAAAAACAAAGAAGAACGATTATCAATACGTACTTCGAGTTCCCAATCAACGTCCGTTGGGAATTCGTTTCGTTTGTCGATTTTCAAGTAAATGGTGAATTCGTGATTGACGCTGCGGCTCAGCTTGTGCTGCTGAACGTGAATGTCGAGACTGTCAGTGACGTTGGCGCCTTCGCTATCCGTGGCAACCAGTTCGTAATTCCAGGTAGATATATCGTTCTCAAGAGGCCTATCAAAAGAGAGAAATAAAATGTGTTAAAATAAAATGTGTCTCCTTTGTCCTCGAAAAATAAATATAGAAACGTCGCGTGAAGTACTTACAGTCCATAGATTTTCTGGATATCATGATCGAACTGAAGCCAATGGGTCGTTTTGAGCGGTAGACCTTGCCAGTACAAGCTCAACTTCAGTTTCCTCGTGTTGCCGTCTTCCAAATCGGTGAAGGTGTCGGCCGGTATGATGTAGCTCAACAGTTTGCCGGCGGTCACCGGTATCTTCTTTAATCTCCTGTCGCGTCTCGGTGGGAAGTTAACTTGGCCATACTCGATACTCTCCGTGGTGATCCGAGCAGTCGTCGTCGTTGGCGTGGTGGTTGTAGGCGCCGCGGTAGTGGTAGTGGTAGTGGTCGTAGTCGTGGTGGTCGTGCTGGGTGTAGTGGACGGTGTTGTGCTTGACACGGTTGTGCGAAGATCCGACGACGTTGACGGCATCATCATTGTCGTAGTCGTAGTAGTTTTGTCACTCATTACGACTACAGGCGTGATAGTAGAGGCGCTAACATTCGGAGTTACGACTACGGGTGAAGGAGTGGTGAAGATGTTAACGTCCGCGATGCTCGACGTTGGTACAGTAGTCGGTTCTCTCATGGAAGTCGTAGTTTGTTCCGACTAGGCGAGAAAAGATCGCGTGTCAAAATGCGTAATGAATATTGAGAAGAATAGCTCCACGTGATGGGGAAATTTGTGTATAACAACAGTAGAATATCTAAGCTGCTATTAACACGCCGTTAATAACGGATTGACGATTTTGATCAGGATGATAACACAATTTGTCTCAGCGAAGCGACAAATCGGCACGATAAAGCGCACGAAGAAAGTTGATGTGTGTATAGCGGCGTGAACTATTGTACAAATGAGAGAAGCGCTAAAGCACGTGTAAGCATTACCTCTTCCGTTGTAATGTTAGTAATACCAACGACGATCTCCGTCTCGTTTTTGTCGAAGACGCTAGTTTGGATGGCCGATGTGCTAAAAGCCGACAGAGTGGTTGCAGGAGGAGGAGTCGTGACGTCCAAGGGAATGGTTGGTAAAGCGGTAACGGATTCGGCAGGCTCCACGGGTTTCGTTTTCTCCGTGGCGTTTTCTCTCGGCGTGATCTCCTCGTCCGTGGTATCCCACGACCGTGATCGCGGAGACTCTATCGATGGGGCTACAGTGGTGGAGATACTAGCTGTTGTTGTTGTTGTATCGGCTGATGTAACGGTCGTTGTGGTGCTACTGGTAGAAGTAGTTGCGGTAGAAGTCGTTGGCGCGGCTTGGGTGGTGGTTGTAGTTGTCGTCGTGGTGGTGAAGGTGGTTGTAGTAGTTGTTGATGGTGATGATGTAGTAAGTTCAGTGGTTCTTGTCTGCGAAATCGTTAGTAGATGCGATGTATGGCACGAAAAACGAGTGGGTTAGTTATGTTTTCGAAGGGACGAAGAAGTTCGTACAAAGTAGAGAACCAAGTATCAGGCTTTTGTTTGCGGAGAGTAAAAGAGAGACTTTCGCGACGCAATCTGTACAGCATACACTTTAGAGACGAACGTATGTACAGACACGGAGTATACGGACAGTTTGCGAGAACGAAATAGAGGCCAGCGTTTAAAATACACAATATACCCAGTAGCTATTCTAAACTCTTCAAGCGGCAACGATTTCCCCCGCAAGCGGTATGGCAAAGTGAGGCGAATGAGGAGCGCAGAAATAGGAATCTTAAACGTAAAACCGTAGAGACATGTATCCCGCGAGTGTAAACGTTGACCAAAGGAAATCAATCGTAGAATCGCGTTTTGATTTCACAAAGGCACTTCTTACCGTAGGGAGCGTAGTTTTACTTTCCAATTCGTTTTGACTCATCCTCGGTATTATCTCTTGCTCGTCGACGTCTTCGCTCTGAAAACAATGTGTCACGGATGAAGAATATTCGTGGCGAGTTTACTTTTGCACATCTCACGCAAAACGTGAAAAATAGCGCGCTTGCGATTTGACACTGTTGCAATCTCCTCACCTTCCAATCACCATCGATCGGCTCCTCGCCATGATGATGCCGGTGCGGATGTTTCGAGTCCAGCGGTATTAAAGTCGTTGGCACTCCGGAGTCCTCGTTATCATCTCCATCGTAATCGTCTTCCTCGTCCTCATCATAATCGGTGTCATAATTGTCATAATCGTCAGGGTTGAAGTCGCCGGAGCCGACCTCCCGTCTGTTTCTCAGGTAGGAGGTCAAATCCGTCCTAACGCGCCACGATACCACGGGAAGCTGCAGAACTTCCGCTAAAGTACCGTCCTTCGCCTGCTCACGTAATTGTTTCACCAACTCTGTTTGATGCTTCCATACGTGACCGTCGCAGCCAACCTACGAGGCGTGTTTAGATACATCCGGCTATTCTCTTGATCGACGAGGTTTAAAAAAAAAAAGAGATATCGCAAAAACTGATAATAAAAATTCGGAGCTACGTAAAATATCGTAGTTTATATCTTTGTGTTTTTGCAGATATTAAGTAAACGTTGAAAATGATTAATTTCAAATCTCACCTGCCATTGAATGGTGGTCAAATGGCTGTCTTTATCTTTGTTCTTGTGATGCCTAACATTCCCCGGTCCGGTCAAGATAACGTAGGAATCCGACCCGGTGACATCCTTAATGCTTTGGGAATGCATCGAGAATGCGCTCTGGAGAACGTAAAAACAAAAATCCTATAGTAGATTCTTGAAAGACAAAGGAAATTTTCACAAAAAAATTAAATACTTTTTTATCGCTTTTTTTCTTACAATAAGCACGATTTCTCTCAACTCTCGAAAGTACAAGTTCGTATCTCGAGGGAACGCAACGGAAATTAATCGATTAATTTCTAATGGCAACCAATACTGGATGGAGTCAATACCGTGTGCATTCCTAGATATCCCGCGAGGTTTTCGATGGCATTCACCCTGATGGCAGGCGACAGTTGGTCCATCCGCGCGTCCAGCAGAATCGTGAGGATCGTCTGGTACTCCCCGTCGTCGCAATGCGTCTGCAATTAAGATCGCGCTACTTCTTTACACCACAGCTGCCAGCATTCCGTTCACGCCTATCCAGCACGCGAAATTTCAAAGATCGAGATCGCCGGCCAAATGTATGTACGCGGGTATGTGCAACTGCGCGAGACGATTACGCGGTTACGCATGCAGCAACATCAATTGGCGTCAATCAGTCGTCCGCGGGAGTAAATGTCTTCACGACATTTAAACGCAACGTTGACGACGCGATTGTGAACGGACGATCGCCGCCGCCTGTTCCAACGGATTTATGTCTATCGCGACCGCTCGGGATCCCACCTATAAATTCATCAAACGCGGATTTTATCGCTCGCGACTGAAATACGGGCTGAAAAAAATACAGCATCCGGAAAAGAAAAAATATTTTTTCACTCATGTTTCACTCGGACAAAAAAAACACAGTTTTTCAAACGTTATTTTATTTTGCTTCTTATCGACGTCGCGCGAACGACGCAGTAACGCGCGCTTTTCGCTGACAATTTAAACGTACACAAACGTTCACCAAACGCCTCCCCCTTTGTCTATAAGTCTTTTTATCTTTAAGTTCTATTAATCATTAGTGAATGGAAGGCACGTACAGGCGGGGACCTGTTGTTCGACTTGGATAAGAAACTTGAAACGATGCCAGCGATACGTTTTCACAGCTAACGATCCTCTCGCCGGTTCGTTGTTCGCGTTCTCGTTACGGCGAGTTAACGTTTATCGATATAACTCACCTTGCCGTCCTTATGCTTGAGCTCCTCCAGCTTCTCGGGTGTAACCTGCACGACGAATTGATCCTTGGCGGTGTCACGGTGCTTGCCAACAGCCGTGACGGTCAGGTGATAATTGCCCAAGTCCTTTTTCGACGGCACGCCCAAGAGAGTGGAGGCGGCGTCGTCCCAGTGCATCCATCGTGGCAGACGATCGCGATTCACGGTCTCGTAAACCTAATGCGTTTTTAGAGTGTAAAAAAAACCATATTCCCCTGCTGCCTCTCGAGAGAATAATTATAATTCGCGCCGTCTTTGCGTCGGGGTGTCGCGCGAAGGCGTTTTGAATCACCTCTGCACGAATGGGAGCGAGGGTGTCCCGCTGCCAGAATAATTTCGAGGACAAAAGGAAAGAAGACTATAGGGCCATTCAACCTAAGAAGGATTTCCGGCGGTGAGATTCGCCGGGGAGCAAATTGAATCGCAAATATGGATTCAACGGGGAGACGAACGAACGACGCTCTCTCTCCGGCAGCGAGCCTCGAGAGGGAAGAAAATGACAGATGTGAGAACAAGCAAATCAATAGCGTTTCAACAAGCAGCGGCGGGCATCGCTGATACTTGACGGCGCTACGAGGCTCGATAAATACGAAAGAAGGGCGCTCAAGGAGTCGAAATCCGACGCCGCTTTTATCTCCGGCGAAACACTGGACGGCGAGAGTACGGTGTACTTAAACAAGACTTTTTTTCCTACTCCCCGTACAAAAAGATCCTTTAACGTAAAGAGATACAAAATGCTCGCGTGTAATTCAACACAATCGATTCGCTGTATACATCTAGTAAAACAACTGTCGTATTTTCGCTTGTCGTTAATTCTTGTCGGTGATTCTTTTTCTTTTATATTTGCAAGACTTAAAATTTTCGGGATTCGATGCCGAGTGTCTTTTTGCCCGAGGGGAGCCCGCTTTCGAGATTTAATTTAATTTAAAATTCGAGCAACGTAGGACGGATATTTTTCTCATCAGGGGCACTAGGTATAGTGCAGAACCGGTAAGCGCGATGGGTTTCCGGTCACGTTCCAAATTCGTGGTCGAAGAATAAGTCGCGCCGTCGAACTTACCTCGTAAAAATCCACGCCTCCCGAAAAAGCCTGCCGCGGTATTTTCATCCTGAAGACGTGGCCGACCGGGACTACGGTGTCCGACACGCCCCGTGCCCTTTCGACCCGGGAGGCGTGCCGTCTGCCATCGCGAGACGACGATCCGACGTGTTCGTAACGATCGGATCGACCGCGAGCATGATGATTTATCAGGACGGAGCCGACGGGCACGTTGTCATTGTCGTTGTCCTCGCCGACATCGTCGAAGACCAGGTCGTCCTCCTGCAGGCTGAGTCCCAGTGTCAGTGGCAGCAGGAGTAGGATGCACGCGAGGATGTGAGGATGCTTCTTCATGTTTCGGGGGAGTTCTCAGTCACTGGTACCATACCATGCTGCTACGCCTGCAACAGGTCAAGCCACCGCGGGCCCGTTCAGTACGAGTCACGATCGTCGCGATAGCCATCGAACGATGTCAGTGTCGTAATAATTAACCGCGCGCGCGGTTGATCCCGATGTAAAATCCCCGATTGCTGAAATGGGGACACGCGCTGGCGAAACGAGAGCATCACGAGTCGACCCCTGCCCCCCCCCTTAAAATGCCGCGAAATCGAACGTGGCTTTCCAGTCTTCGTCTCAAATTGAGATAAATAAATAATATTCTTTTATTATGATGTTGGGCACACATTAAACGACGTAGCAAATGGAATCTTATATAATAAAATAGTCATATCAGTCATATCGCGTGGCTGATATGACTATTTTATTATATGAGATATTATGTGACATATTTTAGCGATAAAACATTTCGTCTAACACACAAACCATATTTTTTCCCCGAAAATTAGTTCAACAGTTAAACAGTTTCTAATTGTCTGAAGAAAAGACGACGTTCAACAGATCGATGACACGCGAATTAAAATACAGTCAAACACGATGCAATCGAATAGAAGGGCGTATTGCATCGATCAGTGAACGCCAACAATCAGACGTCAGCTGATAATTGTGCACGCTCGTACATTCGACGTGTCTGTTTAGGTTCGACCCGAGAGACTAATGGAACACATTTTCGTAACCGAGGGAGAGACAGAGAGAGAGAGAGAGAAAGGCGAATACATTCAGTGGTGTCCAATGATAGCCAATAAACGCCTCGCCATTGCCTTTTTATTTTCCTTTATCGCTCGTTTCGCCGAGCCACCGTTTCATTAATCGGCGCGACCGGCGGACAATGAGGAGCCGACGGTTAAGCCGCTCTCGCGACCGGCGAACCATCGATAAAACCAGAAAAGGGGATTCAGTTTTATCGAAACACGATGACTCACGTTTCCCTCGCGCATGGTGTGTTCGCAAAACGATCGATTGCCGCTAATTTCGGCGGTGACATCTGGCCGAAAACTATTCAGGGAGACCGGGATAATTCGGGATAAATGGAATGATATACGGATAATGCTTCGGACGATTCTTTCTTCCCAGTCGGCGTCCCACCGACAGCGCGCTCGACAAATCGAGCGAATTAATCGAAATCGGGGACACTCCGTCGAGTTACAGAGAACTTCATCGCCGCGTTAGTTTAATCGCGCGCTCGCGCGCGGAAGTTATGCACTGCGCGACATTTATCGTCGCGACTTTCAAAAGAAGGGAGGAGGGGAAGAGGGATTGTGGATCGTCGCGGAGAACGCGATAAGGAAAATTTCCAATAAACGCGTCACCGAGGTCGCGGTAGAATCGGAGAATCGTATTTTTAGCTGCCGATAATATCAAAATCAAACTTTAATAACGAGAGGCAGGCGTGTGCTCTTAGCGCTGAGACCGCGGAACGATCGAAGAAACGATCGGTCGTCGATTTCGAGGAAACGCGGAAACGCGCGGATCTCGTCGTTCGCGTGTAATAACGAGGAAGATTCGCGCGGATTAATTGCGCCGATGAAAACGAGGGCAACGCGATATTATACGCTAAACCCATATCTCCTCCTCTCCGACGCGGCGGCGGAGCGACCGCGAAGACGGTCAACGGACCGCGAAGGTTACGTCCCGGGTGGGTGTAGACAATTGAGTTTATGCCCGCGTTTACATGCGTTCGCACGGGAACGTAAAGATATATAGCAGAGTGAGCTCATTACGCCTCCGCTCGCTTATACCGCACTCCCGCTCGGCTTGCCTTAATAAAAATGGCGGAAGGCCGACGACGCGCACAAAGATAGCCTGCCTCCTGTGCTCTTCCGATCTCATGATTTTATAATAAATCTCCGAAGAGTCTGTCGCGCAACAGAAACTATGGACGCAGAACTATATGAGCGGCGCGGTAGATACTTACTTTTGCTCGGTTCTTCGCGCGGCATTGTCGAGCAAGTTATTTATTTAACGAGCGGATTTTCCTCGCGTCGCGTGACACGAATATCGAATCTTGATGTCGCACACACGACACGGTTTGTTTTTGCGCACGGCGGTGATTTTTGTAGGACGACACGCGCGCGCGCGCGCGCGCGGTCGTGACATCGCGCACGTTCGGTGTGAACGCAGTGCGCGTCCGGTGACAAACAGTTTAAAAAGTCCGCGTGAAATGAACGCGAAATGTAGGGAGAACAGAGGGGAGAAACCGTTTATCACAATAGGGATTGCAAAACGATCGCGCATACGTCCAACCCTCGGCGTCGCGAATTCCCGCGCCGCCGGGCTTAATACGATTTCACGGTCGCAATACCGTGCAGCAATACCGAGAGACCGGAGTATTTATCAAAGCTTAACGATCGAATAACGCGATGCCCGATTGTTCGATTGTTCGAACGCGGGATGCGCTTGCTTGATTGTCCGGCGAACGCGCGATTGATGTGATTCTCCTCCTCTGCTGTCTCTCTAGAGAATTCCGGGGATACGATTATTTAAGTAAAACACATTTATAGACAGTTATACGTAACATGTGCAATGCATGTGTACTCCGATCGCGCGCGCTACGTGCGCGTGAAAAACTCTCGTTGCTGCGGATAAAAGGAACGAGAGAATAATATGGCGCGAGCAATGAAATATCATTGGTAATCTGTCGCGGGCGACCGTCCGACGCGTAACATTTTTCACACTCTCTGACACACTTCGATGACGCTTCGTATATCCTATGCGCCTTCGAGAGAGACCCGTGTACATGTATACGTATAATCATTCCTCCATTCACGCGCGACGGAGTCTGCCGCGCGTTCGAGACCTTGCCTCCAGCCGCGCCGCGCCGCGCCGCCTGCACGGTATGCACTATGCAGAGCGCAAATGCGTCGCTGCTGCTGCTGCTGCTGCTGCTGGCAGGTGCAACGTGCCCGTCGCCGCGAGACACGCGTGCGACGAATGCAGGAACAGAATGCGGTGACCGAAGAAGGGGTGGAGGGGGACGGGGAGGCCGATAGACACACACCGGGGCGCCGAACGGAAGTGCATAAGGAACGTGGAAATCGATAGCATCCCCTCGTAATCCGGAGAAACGAGACGCGGGCGCGAGTTCGGGGCGTCGCGGCTCATTGAGCGCGCCGACCCTAACACGTGTACCTTGGATTTGTAACTAGTTCACCGCAAATCCCGCGCGACACGCGCGCGGCGCAAGGTCCTCCGACCCGCGCGCGTATTTCTCCCGCCGTAAGAAGGCGTTGCCGCTAAATAGAGAGAGAGAGAGAGAGAGAGAGGGTGGAGAAGGGCACTTGCGCTTTTGAGTTCATTCATATACAACACCGCCCGTTAAGTTCATTGATGATAACGTCGTCGCGCACCACGCATTTTATTTCCTTTCTCGGAAGTCGCCGCTCACACACAGAGGTCTCTTCCGTGAGTCAGTGACCTTAAACGGATTAATCGATGCTGTCCCACGCGAGCGTATCACCGAGACGAGACGCGCCCGGAGACGCGATACGAATTCCGCCTCGTCGTGAACGGGAAAAGGTGCGCCCCTCCGTTGATCGCCTTTGCGCGAACATCGTGGGAAGTATCAAAGGAGAGAGACAGAGAGAGACAGGAACACGTTCTTCTACAAAATGTATAATAATACTGCAGCAATGTTATTTATTACGAGCGACTTCGCCGAATCCCGGCGCCGAGATGTACGTATAAAAACGAGGCTGCAGTTAACTTTACGCTGATAGTTATTTCTGAAAGTTTAAACATCGTCGTGTCCCAGGGCTCTCACTGAGTGTACGGGGAATGCAATTTTTAAAAGACGTCGGAGAGCGCGTCGTATGGATATCATCGGGTTTCCTTGTGATCTAAATTTAAAGCGCGACGCGCTCGCCACCGCGTAGAATTTCCTTTCTCGCTCCAGATTCTACCGTATCTTCGAATAAGAGGGTACATCGAGGGGAAAAAAAAACTAATGGCGGTGAGAGAAAGATCTTATCTCGTGGTATGCACACAGGTAGATTTCGTTTTCGAAATTCTTCCTCGAGAACGAGAGCGATTCCGAGCGCTATAGAAGAAAAACATAATAACGGCGAGCATAATCGCTGCGCGCAGCGAATATAATGGTATGCGACAGTCGGCATCGACGTACACTTGGGACCGGCTCTAATTATAGATATCGTATCACTGGCGCATTTATCCCCGTTAGCAACGCTCCGTTGCGTAACGCAACATCGTTATGCACATGATTCACGCTCGCGAACAAGTCAACCGCGATGGCAGTCGGTCAATAATATATCAATCGTCGTCTGTCCATCGTGTAACATCGCGTCTCTCACTGCATTTTTCCCGCGTCGAGAAATTCCCGCCGCAAAATGATCGTAACTTCGATCGAGCTAGGGAGAGGCGTCGTCGTGCCTTCCTAACGAGTTTCGGCTGCCCCGGGTGTCATGTTGTCGCGATAACCGCTTTTCGTGAGTCGTGTACACACAAGCCAACGTTTACACAGCCTTTATTCTTCCAGATGCTGCTGCTGCTGTCTCGGGAAATAGAGGCCAAAAGACCCTCCTTTGACTCGATGTTGAAAATAACATCCTGTTTTAGCGTTAATCGTGTGGCGGGGCACCATTCCCCTCTGGCAACAAAATGTCGCGCAATAAGTGACGCGCGGTTAATTACATTCATTCGGCGAGCGGCATATTTTATTCGACCGGAAATGTACATGTTAAACCGAATTTAACTGAACAATTAAAAAGCGCTCGTCCAGTCGCAAATCGGACGGATTAATAAATGAGCGCGTTCCAGAAAACGGCAACGATACACGCATGCACGCGTGACGACAACGACGACACGCTGCACCGCGCCGATTTTCGCTCTCGCGCCAATTCAGCGCGAATACGCGGCGGCTTCGCGACAAATATTTGCATGCGCAGCGCGAATAAGGCGCGTCGGGACTCCTATCGCGACGGAGCGGCGGCGACCATCTCGGGCAAAGGGAAGTAACGCGATACACGTCGCTTACTTACTCGGTCTCTCT